GTACAACACTCGTAATAGAAAACAAACGTGTGGTGGCAGCGGTGCACAAGCAAATTAACAATGCAACGCAACACGTTAATCAACAGCACTGCCTTAAACATATAATAGGCGACGTTTCGGGCAACGGCCCTTCTTCACAGCACATTCATAGAGCGGCCAGATAATACTCTAGCAGCGATGTCATGAACTGCCCCTATTCGGGGTCACGATTCGATACCAGAGTGGGATGATTTTGTTCCGTTGTTAATCGTCTCGTTAGCATTGTGCGTGCGGGTGTGTCGTGCTGAATGTGCATCACAATCAGCCATTGATGGATGATGACCTCCTGAAACCGTCGCCATCCCACGCGTAATGCTCCACCTAACACCTGCACACGACCTTGACATTATCGCTCAATACCAGGGGTCGGCAACCTTTCAAAGAAGAGGAAGAGGCTTTTTTTTCTTTGTTTTCGTCCTTGACCAACATTGTTGGAAAGCCGCATCACTCGCGCAAAGCTGTGTGGACACAAACAAGGCAGCAGGTATACAGCAAGATGACAAACACACATTCTAACACACAGTTAACGCATAGCCTGGTTGATTACGATCTCCAAAGATTACTAAAATTAGAAGTCAAGAGTGAAATTTGACAAACAGAGACACACAGAGAGATGTGTGGAAATCCACCCTATTATTTAGTTTATTTTCTTTCTACGTGACTTTACCGAAAGAACCAAATAGTAATTACTGCAGCCACGAAAGCTTCAAATCAAGTTTGAACCACCTCTACGGGGAGGATGTAAGTTGTTTTCTCTCTCTGTGTGTCTCTGTTTGTCAAATTTCACACTTAACTTCAAATTTAGCAACCTTTGGAGATCGTAATCAACCAGGCTATGCGTTAACTGTGTGTTAGCCGACTCTCTGTGTTGCATTGCATTACATTTTCCAAAATTTTTCTAAGTTTGTTTTCTCAAACGGCCTATCTCTCTCTCTCTCTAAAATGTACCATGCTCTAATAGGTCCATTCGCTCTTTCTCTACCCCGGCCGCTTCGGGGTGGATTTCCACACATCTCTCTGTGTCTCTGTTTGTGAAATTTCACACTTAACTACTAATTTTAGTAATCTTTGTAGATCGTAATCAACCAGGCTATGCATCAACTGTGTGTTAGCCGACTCTCTGTGTTGCATTACATTACATTTCCAAAATATTTGTTAAATTTTGTTTTCTCAAACAATTTTTCTCTCTAGAATTCACCAGGCTCTCATAGGGCCATTTCATCTTCTTTCCCTCGGTCGCTTCGGGGTGGATTCATTGACATGCTAATTTCTCTGCTCCAGCAGCTGCCCCAGCAGACCCACCTCTCTCTCTGCCCCCCCCCACTCTCTCTCTCTCTATTTAAGGCGTCGACACAGAGGCATTGGGTCTCTGTGTCTATGTTGTGTGTCTCTCTCTGTTTGTGTGTCTGTCTGTGTGTCTCCGTGTCTGTGTTTCGTCTCTCTCTCAAACTTAGTTCTACCTGATCACGGTTGCTTGTGTTGCAATAGAAACGTCGTACTCTATTATTTAATTTATTTTCTTTTTACGCGACTTTACCGAAAGAACCAACGAGTAACACAGTTTGACTGCCGTGTGCATTTTGTTGTCACCAAGACGTTCCAAAGTGACCCCATTCCCTGCCATATGTAATCAATTATCTTGACGCTAAATAATGTTTAAGATTTAGGCAAAAGGGCGGGCAGCCGGAGAGCCGCAAGGGAAGAGCTCCAGAGCCGCAGGTTGCTGGCCCACCTTCTTTGGCACGGCATTATAAGCAACGGTGTTTGTATAGATGTCATAGTTGAATGTTAAGATCCTTCAACCAATCCAAGGTGGCAGTAGATGCTGCATGGATTGCAGCAATGCCGCCAGGATATGCATGGATGGCGCACTCGTCGGTGGCTCCCCGATCTTTACCTCCTCGATATAGAGCAAGGTTCGCGTTCCGTTCCTTGGCTGACACTCCGTCATTGCTATTGATCATCTTGCCTTCATTCATTCATTATTGAAAAGTAGGCGGGCCTCGTTGGGCAGGACTTGTGGCAAGAATGAATTGCTCGTGGCAATAGTCAATTGCTCTTGGTGAGAATGAATTGCTCTTGGTGAGAATGAATTGCTCTTAGTGAGAATTAATTGCTCGTGGTGAGAATGAATTGCTCTTGGTGAGAATGAATTGCTCTTAGTGAGAATTAATTGCTCGTGGTGAGAATGAATTGCTCGTGGTGAGAATGAATTGCTCGTGGTGAGAATGAATTGCTCTTAGTGAGAATTAATTGCTCGTGGTGAGAATGAATTGCTCTTGGTGAGAATGAATTGCTCTTAGTGAGAATTAATTGCTCGTGGTGAGAATGAATTGCTCGTGGTGAGAATGAATTGCTCGTGGTGAGAATGAATTGCTCGTGGTGAGAATGAATTGCTCGTGGTGAGAATGAATTGCTCTTAGTGAGAATGAATTGCTCTTGGTGAGAATGAATTGCTCTTGGTGAGAATGAATTGCTCTTAGTGAGAATTAATTGCTCTTGGTGAGAATGAATTGCTCTTGGTGAGAATGAATTGCTCGTGGTGAGAATGAATTGCTCATTCTGCTTGGCACTGATAACGCGGAGCAGCCAGCCAGCCGGGGTGTGACTTACTCTCAATCTGTCGCCTGCGTCACTTCTCATTTGCTAATAGCCCGGCAGGAGCCGACAGGGTTATGGAATGTGAGGGTAGTGTCTGGGATGCTTTTATCTGATTGTGGGCTTTCTTTTGTGAAATGCGTTGGCAAGTGGGCGAACGAGCACAAATAATAAAACTCCACACTTTCGCCAATAACCCTTGCCCTAAAAGGAACATATACGGTGTGTAGAGCAGGTGACGTTTTCAACGCGGTGATTTGTTACTTATTTTCCTTTAAAACAAAGCCTTGTGTGTGAATCGTTTTGGGATTTACGGTAGTATTTAGACGCGGTTTAAGGGCGTCTCGGTGGTGAGATTTTATCTATCTCGTCTGGTATACAAGCGGCCATGGGTTCGATCCCGACCCTGACGGCGTCTGTATATTTAGAGTTTGCGTATTTCTCATTCCACGTGGTCGGGTGGATTTTTCTCCGGGTCCTCCGGTTTTTCCCTCCACATTTAGAATCAACGTTACGCGTTTCAACGTCAGGCGTTGATTTTAAACGTATTTGGCTGCTATACATGTCCAAAAGATAAGTCACTTATTTGAGCTATCATTTCTGGCCAGAGCTATATAATCGCAGTGGGCATTACCTGGTAAAAAAAATAGATTACAGTTTTAGTACATTGTGTTGTGTCGCTTCGGGCAATGGTCTGAACACCTCCATAGCACACGGATAACATGTGCCCAATTATCATATAGTGCCAAAGTATAGAAATCACGATTACACTAAAAATAGGGTTCACGTTAATTATCACGTTAAGCCTACGCGCTCATCACCCATGATTCGCCAAATTTCGTCAAATAATCGTAAGCTAAGCAGACTGGAGTCTGCAAGAAGAATTGTAGGTGATTATAGGCAATTCCCTGGGTACAAAGTGGGCTGCAGAGGGCATTACAGCAACATCCTTTTATTGTACTGTACTTCCATGTTTTTTCCGGCCTACACCAACCATCACTGTGACCAGCGCAGCGTAGTCCAGTCAAATACCCCCCACGACCCGCACGGCGTGGGGAGGCCCTCGTCCTGAGCATTGGACCGACTGTGCAGGTGAATGTTTTGCTAATGCAAATGACTCCACTTTGAACGTTGTCGTGTTGTAGTAGCCGCTCCATTGAACGTCTCTCAACATCAAAGTCTCTGTGAGCTCCGTTAATTTCATAGAAGCCACCAACGTCCTATCGCACCCCCCCCCCCCCCCCCATCGTCATACATGAATACTCTTATCTTTGATGGACCTCCAGCTCGTGCCCACGGCAGCCCGCGTGTTCAAGGTGTGTGTGCGTCGTCTCAAAGATGCACGTCTCGGATTGGCCGATCATAAATCCTTTGAACAAACGAAAAAAAATATCCCCAAATTAATTCGTGGCCCAATCGGAGACCTGCTAAGTGACGTCGCCTGGGCCTTTAAACTACGCTCGGCGAAGGTGGGGGGCAAGGCAAGAGTTAATGTACACACGGGCTGTGGCTGTGTCGGTAGCCGCGGTGAGTAATGTGTAGACAAGAGTTGATAACTAACCTCATTAACAGATAACGGCGAAGAAACATCCACAGGATTATACTTCACCGAGGACGCAATCCCAGGTATTCGTGATTTTTTTTAAGGACGTAATATGTTGTTGTGGCGGTTGTTATGTTTGTTGTTGTGTGCGTCCGCTAAAGCCGAACAATACAGACACGTGGAACTGCTTGTAACATATTTCCGGCGATGTGTGAAATGTGTGCACGCAAGTGACCTCTTGAAAGTATTAAATAAATGAGGACACATTCCGTCTCGTCCATGCCGTATTCGGCCACCAACACACCTTCCACGCATTGCAACAACACAACAACAACAACACCCATCCCTGTGGATCTGTGCTCGCCTGCTTCCCGACCTCGCACACCACTCGACAACGCCCTCCTCCCATCGCCTCCCCCCCTTTCACAAACTTTGCTCACCTCGTTCAATTCCAGAATCGTGTTCAACGCTTGGCCTCTTTTTTTTACTTGTGCTCGGCAAGTGTAATTATTTTTCTCTCTATCTCTCATGTACACTGTCGTTGGTATATGTTTTACATTCGCATGCTTAGTCACAATGGTGCTTGCGTTTGGACTTTGGTAACAGCGGCGTTCCGTTTTGAGTGTTTGTGTGGTGCCATTATCAATGAGTTCCACCGGTACAATAGTGCCCGTCTCGGAATGTTATACACCTGTGTAGCGTTTACTCTTTAATGATGCACGTGTGTTCAGTTAAACATTATTCGCGCAAAAATGCATTGTACTTCAGTTGATGGGATTCCAACGTGAACCTGTTTCGCATCTTTTTCGTTCGCGTTCGGCGTCGGCACTAGGTCCTCAGGTGCGTATTGTCTGTGGGCTGTACATATTGCGTGGATGTAATTGTATTTTTTTACGTGTATTAATGCCGTCAAATCGAATTTTAGTCGAATGGAGACCGATGTTAATGAGGGAGACAAGGATATAACGACAAGTGTAAATTGTGTATACCGGTGTGTAGTGGTTGGGTGTATGGCGAAGGCCGTGGCGCAATCGGTCAGCACACAGTTTCACGGATATCTCGTCACCCAGCTAACAATGACACATTGGGCCCAACATTGGCCATGTGGTTGGAACCGTTGAACCAACGCACGGCTCCGATGTTCAATGTATTATTGGTAGAGTTAGAATCCTGGCCACGGCTAACACTAGCCGTTGAAGTGATATCGGAACCGGTCCGCTTCATTCATCAACCCGCTTTGACCAGCGTGGTAAACAAGTATTGTTGAACAGCTCCCGCGGTGGATTTAGAGAGCCATTCGTATACGGTAATTATATTCCTGCCTAGTTTAAGAATCTATTTTCTATTACATCTTCAATAGGTGCTTTGTGGGTCATTGAGCTTGTGGCTCGGCAATCCGAGTTAAAAACTACGTTCAAATTACAGTACGTCCGTAATCCAAATATATTTTGCACCTCCAATTAGCACATTCGACTATGTACGTGTGCGAAAGTTCAAGATTCATACATTTAAAATTGTAGTATGTTACATAAAGTATTGGTATATCGGAGGGCAATGAGTTTTACACCCATTACGTATTAATCTTTTCTCTGTGTGTTGATCACGATAATCGTGGACGGGTTCAGTGCTGGTGCTGGCTATATCACAGCTACATGGAATGTAAAGAATGTGCCAAATCAATGTCTCTACTTGCATCGCGTCTCCAAGCATTGACCACCCCGCTCAATGTCTTCATAACAACGCAGGGATGTGTCCCTCGCTTCGTTTTTGCAGCAATTTTTGAGTTTGCTGACAAGCAACCCCTCCCTTGGCCAGACAGCGTTATCGTCGATCAACCGCCGTCCCCTCTTTCTGGACGACTCGAAGTGCCACCGCCGAGGATGTTCCGCAAGAGAAAGGACGTGTTCGTCATCCCTGGCCCAAACCACACCGGTGAGAATACGAACAAGTACACAAACCGCACTTCTTGTGAGCCCACTGCTGGATGAGGGCCTCTTTACACTTTGGGGGTGGAGGCGGATTGTCGTGGTTATTTGACCATGTCATACTTCGTCACCAGAGGGGGTGGAGGGCAGCGTAAATGTGGGCCCTTAGAAGTAATCATTATCACCATGATCCGTGGGCAGATAGCCTGTAGGTGTCCACTGCACGTTTCGTCAATTGCTTTCCACTTGCCTTGTGCCAATCTGCTCAAGTAGTGCGCACATCTTTCTGGCACCAATCTCTGGTGGTTGTCATCAAGGAATTCTCCATTAGGTCTTCCTCTATTTCCGGTTCCTTCCATTTTCCCCAAACAATACACTTTTAATTATACTGTTGTTGTTGTCCATCCTACATATATGTGTGTCTATAGAGTGTGCCCATATAGGTTGATATTGCCTGTGACGACCCTGCTTTGCACACACGGTGGTTAACCTTCGAAACTGCCACCCAGGTGCAAACCTCCTCCTGCTTGGCTTCTGAGATTAGGTGAATTGATCATATAAAAGAATATTTAAGAAATGTAATGTCTGTATATAATAACAAGGACTGATTTTAAATTGATCACAAGCAAAAAGTGTTTGGATGTTCAATATGAAGGGGAGCAGAAGTGCAGTGGCATGCTGTGTTATGGACCCGGCAATCCGAGTGAGATTTCCAGCCATTGCTAACATCGGTGGTGAGTGATGAAAGGCCTTGCTATGTCAGTCATCCTGTTGTCCGACCACACTTCACCAACCTCGTGGTTAGTGCTGGTTGTGAGAAGTGTGACCCAGGACCGGGTTCAGGTATTCACTCGCCCGCTGATGTGGCCATGGCCAGGAATCAAACTCGAGTTACCCGAGTCACAGTGCACCACGATAGCCACTGTGCCACCGTAACGCCCGTGTTGCTAGAACATTCCCCCTATCCATTTTGTGTCCCCATGTCTCAATTTTGTCTTGCTGTAATTGTGATTTTGTCACCTCTATACCGCCACACACACGCTTGTGTGTACCGTATTAGCAAGTCGCTAGGCTTGGAATCTTTGGCACCACTCTTAATAGTAGGCTTTAGCGCAGTTATAGGAATATTGGTGAACAATGTGACTCCTCGGTGGCCGAGGTCACTGGAGGTTCCGCATTGTCCAGAGGTCGGTGTAAACTCGACACCACTAATATGTGTGTTTTACACTCCGGCGTGTTAATCGCGCCAACTGCGTGACGCGTGGTACTCAGCGTTTTTGCAACGTGACAAATCTGCTTCAAAGTGGCAGCCTCTATTGAATTTGTTTTACTCTAATTACGCCAATTGTTTTCCCGCGGATCCTTCACCCTAACGTATGATGTGTAGAGAGGTGGTCGGACCAGTCCATTGTTTGTGGCGACTCTTGGACATTTGTCTGACCTCGCACAAAAGTAGACTTTGGTGGGAGGTCGTCCACCTGAATCAATGGAGACACTGGGACGGCAGTAACTTGAGCATAATCCCTGCCACCCATGTTGTAGCCCTCCACAGTCCATGCCTGCTCATGTTCACCATGCCCATCGCCGTGTTGCATCTGTAGTTTTGCGCAAATGCACGAGGCCAGCTGGGTATCTGCGTCATTTTGTTGTCCTTTCTTCTGAAACCTCCGATTAGCACGGTTGGCTATGTACGGCGTGGAAGAAGTTCAACGCACGTACATCATTCCCTTGACTCGTAGTCGTTCAGCTGAATTGAGGTGGCAGGCGGGGCTCAGTGTCAACGCCAGTTCCTCAACAAGGACATCGGTTCGATGCAAGAGTCAGTGCCTTTTGTGTGTTAATGTTTCTACCCCTATTCTGCATGTGTTTTTCGACCAGGTTTCTTCTATAGCTTAACATAGACAATATAATAGGTACTGGTCAAACATCCTAGTGATTTATAACTACCTACAAATTACACAATTGGTATTACTTAAAGCAACATCACCTCCACTGTAAAAAAACTTGGCAAAAATTTCGTGGATAAACAAGCATAATGGTTATTATAATGTAATGAGATTTTATTCGTTTTAAAGTTCATTACCTTTGGCACATTGCTTTGTTATTTTAAACTGTCACGTATTTGTTGTGAAATTTTGGAGGTGTTTGACATTCATGCACATATGTATGTATGTTGATCTTCATTTGCACCGTACGTAGCCAACCGTGCTAATCGGAGGTGCGGGGGAAGGACAACAAACTAAACACAAACATTTACGAGTTTTCAATTTGGATTGAAAAGTGCATAGCTCCAGTGGCTTCCTTCTATCGGAAGGGAGAGCGTTCCAGAAGGCTGCGGAAGCGCAACTGAAGGCGCGCGATGCAGTGACCACCTTTGTTCGATGGTTAGCCGAAAGCCGCTGCTGCTAGGATGACCGGAGTTCCGGTGAGTGGTTTATGCTCCTTTGAAGAGATCAGCGATTGCCATGTAAATCGCCCTGAGATGGCCTTTGAAGTGCGCTGTGTAAATAGATATTGATTGATCTCCGGTTCTTGCGACCTCCCCTCCTCACCATGATACAGCTTTGCCATGATTGGCAGTCGTCAGGTTCACGCAGCGCTGGCCCAGCGGCTTTATTTTGCGCTGCCCCAGCGGCTTTATTTTGCGCTGCCCCAAGCTCATCCTTTCAGAAGGGCCCAAGGCAATTGCTGAAATGACGCGTTCTTGTTATCATCGACATCGTTATGATCTCTAAGTTGAGCAGACTTCATCATCGCAGTATATGTGCCGTATTAATTTCGTACAATGTAAAACAAAGAGTTGCCGTGTAGCAATGAGGAGTATTTTATATTCATTACTTCATTGCAATATACTTTACTATTATCTATATTGTATGTAGTCCATCTGAGTTGGTGGCGGTTACTTTGATGTAGGGCTTTCGTCCTCTATTCAGAAACTGCAATAATAATAAAAAAATATTCGGAGTAGCGTAAATACATCGAATTGTCATGCAGTTGAAGACTATCTCGAATTTAGATTTGATTGATCACATTTAAAAAAAAATGCATTTCTTGAACCACACCATACACATTTTCACTAAGGCATTGTACCAGTGGCATTGCATTGGCTGGCATTTATGTACGTATGTATCTTAAACTTATTTATCACCGTACGTATCCATCCGTACTAATTGGAGGTGTAGGAGAAGGACGACAAGCTAAACACAAAAAGCAGTTCTCAAGAAATGAGTTTTCAATCTAAATGATTTACAAGTGCAGAGCTCCAGTGGCTTCCTAATAGCAGAACGGCTGCAGAAGTGCAACTGAAAACGCGCAATGTAATTACTGTCTTTGTTTGATGGCTGGACTTGGGACTTAGTAGCCAAAGCACCTCAGAATCTTTATTTATACTGGAGGAATCCGATGAGCTATAAAGTTTTTATTCACAGATGTCCAATAGGGACTTGGGGTCAGAAGGTTGCAACAACAAACAATACAAAAACACGACAGGAGTGCAAAGTATAGGAAAGGTAAGCAAATCACAAAAAAACCCCGTTTTATTTTACCAACTAAAGCCCACTGAGATTTTTACTTATTTTTTAAAAGCAACCTGCCCACAAATGATAGCTCAACGAAGTGGCAAATAATTATCAATGTCGAGCAGGCAAATGATCAAATAATCTCAGTGCATTTTTCTAAATGTGGGGGGGAAAACTGGAGGATCTCGGATAAAAAAAATCCACGTGACCACGGGAGAGAGACACACAAACTCCAAATATACAGGAGTCAGGATTGGGATCGAACCCCCGATCTCCTGCATACCAGGCAAAGGAGATAATATCTCGCCACTGTGGCATCTTGGCCCAGATCTATTGCACATCTGATATCAACACATCTGCATTGCCATTAACGCACTCCTACTTATGATGCATGTTTGATGAACCTACTTTCTTGCCTCCTATCCATCAATCGTCATCAACTTTATTCATTATCGTGCCTCCTGTCACCTGTCAACCTCTTATCAGACCTCATTGGTCACCCTGTGCCCTTATAAATCTCAACGTTCACCCTACAAAGTCCCATCACAAGAGAGAAACACAAACAATGAGCCAATTATTTTGTTGTTGCCTGTATTGAAAATGCTGTATGCCATATGGACCTGAAAACTTCGTTTCCTGTACAAGAATACGGGGTAAACCACGTGGGTTGACACAGTATGCAGTGTATTCGGCACCTAATCCCGATGCCACCGACCCCGCGCTCTGTCACACAGAAAACGCCGGCGGCGGCGGCGTCCCCGCCGTGACCCTGCTTAGGGTGGGGCCCGCGCCGGACCGCAGCCCCGTGCGGCGGCCCTGGTACGCGGGTGGCCGCCACGGCATCCCCGGCTTCCCCTTCCACCGAAAAACTTCGCGGGCCGCGTGGAGGATCAGCCGCGGCCTGCGCACCCGCTGCTCGCACGACTCTGGCGTCGAGGTCTCGAGTAGCGCTCCTCCGTCCCCGGGAACAGCCGTGGTCGTCGTCGCTACCGCCAACGATGACGCCGATGACAACAACCCGGCCGTGACGACGGTGCCCTTGAGGCATCGGAACTGTGCTCCCGGCGGCGTGTCCGGCTCTGTCGACGGATCGCCGGTGGCAGTGCTCTCGGACCTGCCTGGCGAGCGCCATCCGTCGGCCCAGCCTCGAAGAGGCAGGAAAGCCGCGGGGAAATATCCCCGAGGCCACGAGTCTGGGGAGGCTCAGAGACTCGAGCTCGTGGACGAGGACGGTGTCCGGGAGCCCTCAGTAGAGTCTGAAGACGAGGTTGTGAGCGGGGCATCATCGGACAAAAAGCCGACACCGAGTGTCTCGCAAGTAGCGGGCAGGAGGCGCAGGGAGACGTGCGAGCGTCGTATGGGAGTGGAGATGGAGCGGCCGCTGAAGGAGAAGAGCGCGGATCGCACTGACGGACTGCATGAGCGCCGTGTTCAGGTGGGCTATTCACGCTTCACCGTGGTCAAAATCGTCATCTTTGTCTATCCGCATTACCCAACCCACCCGGCTGCCAAATAAACCGTTGCCCCGCACCAATCTATTGAGCCTGATCCAAGGTAATCTGCCTGGCTGCGGCCCTATGTACAAGCGTAACGGATTTGTATTGGCGATGTAAGGCGGTCTGATCCGAGTCCCAGGCTTACTGCCACCGTTGAGTAGTTCCGAGCCGTTTTACATGCTTAGTGGCGAGCGGCGGCAGCAGTAGTTGGGATAAGCACTCCGCTTTGAGCCAAAAGGCTGTGAGCCCCTGACAGGAAGGGGAAGCCTTGGCTTAAGCCTTGTTGACACCAATTGTAGTGTGTAACACCTAAAGGTGGCCCACGTACTTTAAAGACGAGCCAGTCACCCGCCGTCTGCATTTACATTCAAGAGCAGGTATTGTATAGTTAAGCAGCCAAGCCACATTTTTGGTCTTGGTTATTAGAAATAATTTGGTACGCATGCATGTACTCTATGTATGTGTTTATGTCCTGATATGTCCAGTCATCTCCATTAACCCATAACACTCAGGTCTGTCCCGTGACACCCTGCCAGCAAGCCTTAGACACTTCACGTGACCTCAAAGTGCACCTGGCCTGGTATAAGTGCCGCACTGAATGGCGGCTGTCATACGGACACATTTGCTTCATGATTGCGGGGGCCTGGTTTTTGTGTGATTGCCAGTTTAGTAGATACACACAGAAAAGAGAGAGGAAAAAATTAACCCGTAAAAACAAAGTTTTTCACTAAATCCTTTATATGCGTGGCGGCTAGAGTCCTCTCATCCTCTGGCTTGAGATGGCTGCCACCTATGGGTCAGATGATTGCCTGCCACCATTAAGCAATTGGTAATTAAATATAAACATTTTCCCCCTAAAATGTTGAAAATTTTGGAAAAAAAATTTCACGAAAATAAATTGTCACGCACAACGAGTCTGTGTTCAAAATGTCAGCTCGATTGGATCACGGGAAGTGGGTTAAAAAACGACCGAAAGATTTGCACGGTCGTAAGCACGCAAGCAAGCAAGCAAGTGAACTTAATTTAACGGATTTAAAAAAAGGAATCCTCATCAGCCATGATCAGTCCACTGCTGACTGAAGGCCTCCCCAGCTGTGGACATATCTCGCTGCCTTGCGAAGTGACAATCAATCTAGTAGCACCTGTGGCACAAGCTGATTTCATTGCTCTGTCTCTGCAGTGGATATATACCTACCAGGGCCTACATTTAAATAGTACAGGTGATTAAAGACCATTTACAAAAATTGGAAAACAGGTTACATGATGAAAGTGGCTCGATCGATAATACCATAGAATGGGAGTTGGATAGGGAGTGACAGCTGTGCCAAAGTGATTTACAGCGACATTCGAAGATGTTTTCTGAAAACTCGACTGGAGAAAGGAAGACATTTAATATAAATGGTAAAAATATTAACAAAGGAATATCGAGGCATAATCATCGTTTTTGGGTTAGATCGCGTTATTTATAAATGTGTCGTAACCCTCCACCACCCGACACGGCCAATCAGCAAAAAAAAGTGTCACGTTGACAAAAGACAAATAGTTCATTACTTTAGCCCACCGATGTGTTGAAGCATGAAACCGCAAAATTTTAATTTTTTGAGTACGACGTTTTGCTGGCAATTGCATCCAGCATCATCGGGCAATTCGCCAGAATAAAATGGAGTTCGCTTCTCAATCGCCTGCTGAGCTGAGGCAATTCTAATGATAAATGTGGGTGTTGATTTAGGTTATAGCTGCGTATTAAATGAATGTGTTCTGCGATGGTAATCATAGTTGATCTGCACAGCAGTTGGGAACGTCCGTGTCCGTGCGCGATGCCGAGCTGCAAACCAAACTGTGGTCCAAGGTCATTGCTTTTGAGGCCTAGATCAGTCTGGCTAGAATTGGCTTGTGAATGGGCACCTTTTCCACTGGTCAATGTTAAATCTTTTGGCCTTGGCAGATCCAGTTGATGAAAAATAAACCATAGGGTTAGGTTGCTAAAGCATCTCTGCTACAAGCAACAGGTTACCCAATAGCCATGACAAATGCATGGAGTGTGCAGCACTTTCCAACGTTCCTTTGTCCTCGGACATATTGAATTTAGCTGTCGGGGGTAAAACACGTTTGCGTGTTTGCACGCCACAGTACTTTATGCCGTGGCGTGTCTCTTGAGACCTTGGTAATCTTTTCGATTTAAAGCTTTCGTGACTGCAGGGATTCATCTTCTTGGTTCTTTCGGTACAGTCACGTAGAAGGGAAGTAATAAAATAATAAAAATAAAACATAATAAAATTATTCTCACGACGTTTCGGCCACAACGCAAGCAGCCGTCCTCAGGTGAAGACCAGGTCTGTCGGGGAGACAGCGTCTGTCGGGGAGACAGTGTCTCCCGACCTGGTCTTCACCTGAGGACGGCTGCTTGCGTTGTGGCCGAAACGTCGTGAGAATAATTTTATTATGTTTTATTTTTATTATTTTATTACTTCCCTTCTATGTGACTTTACCGAAAGAACCAAGAAGATGAAACCTTGGTAATCCTTTGATAAACGTGGCCAGTTTAGTCTGGTAAGTTCCGAATAGCAACGCTACTTTTGACTAAAGTTCCGTTCACATTGGCTCGTTTCTACGAGTCATCCCCTCCCATCTCCCAGCCGCTGCTGCCGTTACAGGCAGACGAACAGAGCTAACGAACACAATTTTTACCTTATTCGGAAAGCACAAATGCAATTTGTCGCCGTTCACGTCTGTGTAACAGTTGGTGCGTGTTAGCCAGCTTGTGTCCAAGACATTGTGTTTCATGACACTTTGTTATGTCTGACCGATGCTACTGCTGCAGGTGCTATTGCTGCTACTGCTGTAGCTATCGCTATTACTGCAGCTATTTCCGCAGCTGTTGCTGTTGATGGTGCTGCTACTATTGCTGCTGCTTTTACTGCTGTTGCTGATAATGCTATTGCTGATGTTGCGATTGCTGCTTCTGTGATCGCTGTTGCTGCCGCCGACACTCATTGATCACATGGGCCCAGGTGTCTAATCCAGCGTTACTGGCCGACGTTCAGGTAAAAGCTGCTGCAGCGGTGGGCGTGGGCATGGGGCTGTGCCACCTGGACCAACTGTGCCGCCTCATGGAGAAGATGGGGCACCTCAATGAGGCCAACAGGAGGCTCCAGCAGCAGCTCGTGCATCTACAAAGTGACCTGCAGGCCCAGAGGTTCCAACAGGTCAGGCCCGACGCCACAAAAGGCCCCGCACTCCGATCTGCTTGTGCATTTCCTCGCAGTCACTTTTGTGTCCAGGAAAAAATAATTTCCGAAGTTATTTCCTGCTCCAAAATGTTCAGCGAGATGGTGCCCATCTCCTTTTAACGGCCATGAGCCAGTGGTGGAAATTTCACATTCCTATGGTCGGGGGTGAGTGTATTTATAGGTGAGCCACTGTTGACACCCCCCACAAAGTGCTGACGTTGATGCAATGTTCAGTGTGTGTGTGCATAAGCTTGATAATTCGGCATTAAATAATTAAGTATTTCGTTTATTTAAACAAATGTTCACGCGTGTGATACACGTATCAATTGAATTTGTGTGGAGTTTATTAATATAGATTAATCGATACGAGACTAATTGGAGAGTGAGATGACCTCACTTGTGGAAGTTCCTCCCCAATTCGGCTTTAGAACTTCCCCTTGAGTGCCACTCCAAGGCCCGTGTGGGTAACTGCGCCTCTTCTCCAGTCGCACCCACCATCGTGTCTCATCTGATCCGCATCCTCCCCTCTCACCCTCGGTCTTCCCTCCTATACTGCTGTCTGCCCTGCACTGGGTGGCATCTCCCTCTTAGCCCTTCTCCTCGTGCGCCTTTCTCGTCCGCTCTTCGATAATTTTTAGTAACCCCTCGCTCGGGCTCAAACTTCTTCATTCGGCCTCATTTCCCTCTGAGATGGAGATACTTCCAACATACACGCGTGCTCCTCAACACTAGCCAAATGATGGAACTTTAATTGTGTTCAAATGGAGTTCAGGGTTCCCTCGTGTTCACAACGGATGCGTTCCGGAGATACTCGTGAATATAAAATTTTGCGGATAATGATATTGGCCTACGAAAACTCATCTTTTGAATGAATTACCTTAAATAAATACATAAATAAGCTGTTAAATAATTTTTTTTTATTGGTTATAATAAACGTAAATTAAATATGAAAACATTAAAGTATTAAATAATATTCTTTGGTTTTTTCGGTAAAGTCACGTATAAAAATAAAATAATAAATTAAATAATAGCATACGACGTTTCGATTGCAACACAAGCAATCATCATCAGGTATAATGAAATAGCGACATAGAATATAACCAGAAAACTATAGACAGACATATAAGCAGACAGATATCACCAAGATACATAGAGAGAGCAACCCAGGTACAGAGAGAGGTGATCGTCTCTGTGGGGTGGCCTTAAATAGACAGAGGGGGGCGGAGGCAGAGAGAGGGAGGGGGTAGGGAAAACATTTACATGTCAATGAGTACGAAGGGAGGGGAGTAAGGTAAGCAGGCTTAGAGGGAGACAGAACACACTAAATTAAATAACCTAGCAAAGTATCGAAATGTTATGTAAAACGACACAGAGAGTCGGTCAACACACAATTAACGCATTGCCTGGTCGATTACGTATTTCAAAGATTGCTAAGTTAGAATTTAAGTGTGAAAATTCCAAAGAAAGACAAAACATAAAAAAAAGAGGAACGGAGACACACAGACAGAGCAGAACCTAAGAACGATACAAAACGAGTGTAGACAGAGAAAATTACACTAATTTTGTAATTTTCTCTGTCTACACTCGTTTTGTATCGTTCTTAGGTTCTGCTCTGTCTGTGTGTCTCCGTTCCTCTTTTTTTTTGTCTTTCTTTGGAATTTTCACACTTAAATTCTAACTTAGCAATCTTTGAAATACGTAATCGACCAGGCAATGCGTTAATTGTGTGTTGACCGACTCTCTGTGTCGTTTTACATAACATTTCGATACTTTGCTAGGTTATTTAATTTAGTGTGTTCTGTCTCCCTCTAAGCCTGCTTACCTTACTCCCCTCCCTTCGTACTCATTGACATGTAAATGTTTTCCCTACCCCCTCCCTCTCTCTGCCTCCGCCCCCCTCTGTCTATTTAAGGCCACCCCACAGAGACGATCACCTCTCTCTGTACCTGGGTTGCTCTCTCTATGTATCTTGGTGATATCTGTCTGCTTATATGTCTGTCTATAGTTTTCTGGTTATATTCTATGTCGCTATTTCATTATACCTGATGATGATTGCTTGTGTTGCAATCGAAACGTCGTATGCTATTATTTAATTTATTATTTTATTTTTATACGTGACTTTACCGAAAAAACCAAAGAATAATTCCTGCAGTCACGAAAGCTCCAAAATTAATATTAAATAATAGTTTACAAATTAACCTAACTTTAATTATGATTATGCTACACAGTAGAATGATGCAGTAACAATGATGCTGACGACGATGATAGAGACTGAGTGACCGCAACAACATTTCCATCTGTTCTGAACAAGCCTGGCGGCTTCTTGTCAGAACCACCATGTCGCCTTTATTGGTTACTCTGCTTTGGAACGGACATGGGGAGACAGCCCCCGTCCTCACTTCTCCCCTCCCACCTCTCACTCAGGGCCTGCTGCTGTCCGCCTGCCGGTGCGGGACGCGCGCTTGGGTGCAGCAGCACTGGCTGTCACTGGCGCAGTCTCCAGGCAGCGCTGGCCCGAGGCTCCGCTCGCACTCCGACGTCGCCGCGGAGACGTTCGTCGCTGCGGAGACGCTCGGCGCCGCTGTGCACAGGCAGCGGCCGCCCCCGGGAGCTGCAGGTGCCTGATGCTCGTGACTAAACTAAAACTATTTTTTTTATTTCACCAGGTAAGGCCCACTGAGCTATGTAGCTCTTTTTTCCAGAAGTAACCTGGCCACAAATTATAGCTCAACGAAATGGCTTATCACGTGGAAATTCATAGCGGCCAAATACTTCAAACGCACAGTCATTCTAAATGTGGAGGGAAAATCCGGAGGACCCGGAGAAAAATCCACGCGACCACAGGGGGAGAGACATTCAAACTCCAAATATACAGGCGTTTGGGTTGGAATCGAACCCAGGACCTCCTGCATACCAGGCGAGGGAGTTAACATCTTGCCACGAGTGGCGTCACGCGTGAGTGCCTGAGCCCCACAGGGTCTTGCGGGCGTGGGAAGGATGGGACGTGGCTCGTTTGGCTCAGCGTCCGGGGTCTCGGGGGTTCAATTATCAGTCCCATCACCATCGGCATCGTCGTCGACATCATCACCGTCAGAAATGAACTTGATAAAATTCTTCTTTGCCATTACCACCACATTCTCAACTAACACAGCAGTTTTCAACCGGTGGGTTGAGCATCCATTTTGGCAGGAGGGGTGTGGGGGGGATGCAGGATGCAGCATGGATACCGTGCAGGAGAAACTTTTAATGGACGCGGGGAACATCAGCGCCATGTTGCGGCGACAGACGGCACAATATGAAGCAAATGCCTTGGTAACGTCACAGTGGCTAGAGTCGTGGCCATGTGATTGCCCTGTGTAATGTGACCTTGACCTGGGAAGGACCAATGGTATTCGTTGGGTGAGGGTAGCAGCCATACCAAAATATTTAAAATTACTGCCTTAAACCTACGTCATCAACACCACAATTACAATTACCTATATGATAGTTATTTGTATCGTCATTGTGCTCCTCTTTATTATAATTTTGATCATTCACAGTGAAGGCTGAGATCTTGGCATGGTTATTAATAAAAATTCACGACCTCCGGCACTGCCTCCAAGGCCCAAAAATCGGCCCTCCTGGATTTGACATTCCTCTGGCATCGGTGGTGTGGCCATCAACCACATCAGAACATCAGCTCAACAGCAGGTCGATGTGCACATCTTATTCGTGAATTGAAAAATAAAGACAAGCCACAGTAGTGCAATCGTCGCAATGCAACACAAACTATTAACCATGTTGTAAACCACGTAGTCTGCACTCCTTTAGCCTATGAGTTGGATTAGCAAAACTACATGAACTCTCTCCTGAAGCCCTCTCATCGTGGCTAGCAACAGACCTCGACATTGGCATTTAGCTCCTGAATATATTGCCATATGCAAAAACAGAATAAGAAATTCGCTGAAAATACAGATCCATATATATTTTATTTCCTGTTTCAGTAAAGGTGCTGCTTCCGTGTTCACTTGTGAGCCCATTTTGCAACATTGTACTTTGCACCAGCGCGTCATAGCTCCACAAGACAATATAATTACTGAGGTCCAGTAAAAAAAGACACACACATGGAACGATTAACAGGCGTGCATTGGAGTGATGAAACGAAAGAGGGGTAGGCGAGTTGGTGTGGTTTTGGAAAGCCGGACTTGATGATGAAACGCACCTTACCAATTTGCCAAAACACAGTAATACCTCTGTTAATGAATCCTCTCGGAACAAAACTTCTGAATAATCCGAACGCCGTGCGTGTCCTGTAAGCGCGACCGAGTGGGGTTCGTCGACTGTAGAGAGCTTTGCGAGTCTTCCTCACTCGGCACAATCAGCGGTGTGTGTCCCCAGCCTTCCCTCTTTCCGGCCCTCCACTGCACGAGTTTTACCTCGTGTTGGTAAAGTGTGATTGCGTCTTTTTTTTGCAGTGACAAATAGATTTTTTTTACTAACCCCCATTTATCTCATGCAACTGATGACCATCTAGTGCTAAGCGGCCTTACTGGGCAAAAAGTGAGGCATAAATGCATCTCTTTGGGGAGAAGGTGGGAGAGATGACAAGTGACGTGGTGCGTGCATTCTGGTTGGCGCAGTCCACCTTGAAACGCAACTTTACACCAAGTGGACAGACCAAGTGCAACTGTGCAGCCATGTCTTTTTTTATTGTTACCCCCCTCCTCTCTTCTCTGAAGTCCTGGAAAGCATCCCGATGCCTCCCAGGTTATATCTAACTCTGGTAACGAAGTTTCTGATAACGAAGTGACATCGTGGAACGCATATGCCTTGTTTTTCAGTTTCATTTCAGTTTCATTAATGAGGTATAACCCTGTGAGCCATGCGGCTCTTGACTCAGCTGCAAAAAAAAAAACATGAACAAGAAACATCTTAAAGTGACTACATGCAACAGAAAAATCCAGGAAGAAACAGCAAAGTCTTCCAGAAAAAGCACCGTATTTCAATGCTGTGTGCATAAATCCTAGTGGGATGCAAGTCAAACAATAACAACCATAAGACACTGTAGATTAAAGTTATAATGCTAACTCTGTACTACAACAAACAAACACGGCAAAACCAAAACATTTTAAAAATCACCAAAATGAAGCTATAAAAAACAATGTAACAGTGATACATAACATGTACGGCCAAACTTTGCAGCCATAGCTGGCTGCACGAGGTATTACTTGCACACGTTTTTTAATCGGCGTAAATCGCCTGCCGATCAGAAACATGGAAATTGATGAAGAAAACGGAACATAAAGGCTGAAAATTGCACAGAGAAACATGGCGAGGGGTGTATGCTTTGACTTGCACTAAGAGGCAGGAAGAGTAACGCATGGATTTGAGCGCTCACTTAGGTTACAATCAGTTACTTTGGCTGCGGAGAAAGAGAAGTGGGTTCGGGAAGGATACGTCGCTGAAAGGGGTTGATGGCCGGTGGGTCGAGACGAGCAATGGAGTGGCCGCCATGGAGGGGCATCTGCCCGAGAGGTCGCGTCCACCACGGAGACGGAGCAATGAAATCTGGCGCGAGGTGGATTGGTACATCACGGGTTCGTGAGAGATGGCAGCGGCTTGGGGAGGGAGGCCTTCATCCGTGGATTATCAGGCCTGAGGGCACTGTGGTGGCGAGATGTCAACTACCTCGCTTGGTATACAGGAGGTTGTGGGTTCGATCCCAACCCTGAGGCCTGTATGTTTGGAGTATGCATGCTCTCCCCGTGGTCGCATGGATTTTTCTATGGGTTTTCTGATTTTTTCCTCCATTTAGAATCAACATGCGTATTGATTTTTCGACTGCTATAAATTTCCACGTGATAAGCCACTTAATTGAGCTATCATTTGTGATAGCCAGGTTGCTTCTGAAAAAGATCTATATAGCTCGGTGGGGCTTACCTGGTAAAATAAAAAGTCAAGTTTATAAATTTAGTTTATTGAAATTTAAACTTGATTTTATTTTTGCTATCCCTTGTTCTCACGGCGGGTGCTTGGATTTGTCTTTGTCCCCACCCACCGTCCTGTGTAGGCATGCCGAGACGCAGCTGCTCGGTCAACACCCACGGTCACGTCGACGCCGCCCTCGTGGAGAAGGACCGGGGGTCCATGGCCCCCAAGAAGCACGTCCTCAACTCGCTACCGTAGACGGTGGAGTCCGTTCGCCGCATTGTGTTGGGACCGGAGGGGGGTGGTGGGAGCAGGCAGCACTAATGGCGGGACGAGAGCCACCCTCGCTCCGGCAATAAACACGAACCAACCCAGCCCTACGGCGTAGCGATACTGCTCGCCTTTACAGGTGCTCGAGCTGGCCTCACCGATTATGTAAGAAAGCGATTGCTCGACAAATCAGAAAACACCAATTTGGGGGGTGGGGGTAAGTCTGACCTCTGTTCTCATGTGTGCCGCTGGATGGGAGGTGATGGGCGGGGCTTGTTGACATCACCAGCCCCATCACGCTGGTGGAGGTTCGTAGGGGGTTTCCTGCTTTCGGGAGGCAGGATGTCGGGGTGGCCGTCAATATTAAGTAGGGCCCGAATAATCGACCAGGAAAAATAATCGATGACAATTTTCCAACGATGTAATCGATTTTGATCCTCAGCTCTGCAAGGTACCCTCGCCATCATCTCTCTTCCCTATCTCAATTTCACCCTCGACCCCACACCTCCTCTGCACTGATGTGTTATTTAAGTGCTCGGCTGATACTCGGAGCTGCTCGGAGGACTTTTATTGTGAGATGGTGTTGGGTTCAGCGCACCCGGCGGCAGTGTATTTGTAACGTGCAATTACTGCAAGCGGGGTTGAGCCGAGGTCGTGCTTGTATGGGCGATCGCCATGCATGACCAGCGTTATAGGCTGCTGCCAGCAGAGTGCATTGCAGCAAGATCTATTATTGTACGGTACCCACGCTGGCCAGATTACTCCCCCCCCCCCCCCCCCCCCCCCGTGATTCGCATGGTGTCGGGAGGCCCTCATCCAGCAGTGGCTTGACACAGGGGCTCCATAATAATCGCCATGACCAGTTAGGGGGTTATTGTACACATGTACAATAACGTGTACATCACAAGGAGCTTTCGTTGCAGAGAGTTCTTTTGTTCTTTTAAATCTGCCAGCTTTCTGGAGGGCTGAGGGCCCCAGTGCCTTTGCCTGAGAGGTGCCCCCCTGCAGGCAAAGCTGACTGGTGTGCGCAAGTCAATGGAACGAGCAGCGCTGCACGATCTGGAATTTTTTATCCTTGCATCAAGAAATCCCCAAATCCCCCTCCCTCTAAGCTTTACCGAACTCTGAAATCACCTCTTCCTACTTCTCAACGTCACCTATTTAGGCTGCTGGATTGTATTGCCAAAAGGGCAGTTAAACATCTGAATTCATGCTTGTGCCCTCTTTGTAGTCAAATTCAGGGAGTTTCTGAACTTGATTTGCGCGATCACAACCAAGACGTTTAAGTATTTTTCTGGTTAAAAGACTGTCTCTGAGAACACTACATGAATGTACGGCACAGCATACTTGCGAACTCTATGGTAGACTGGCAATGTTTAAATCCATTTACCGCATAGCGTTATGTTGAAAAACGAAAATTGTCAAGATATTTTTTCAATGTGGTAAATGTACCAAACAAATGGCAGCTTGGCACTTAGCATCTTTTAGGGTTGGCAGTTGTGGTATTTGTGATGTGCACTGGTCAGAGGGGAGAAAAAGCTGAGAATTTGAGTTGAACATTTTAATTCGTAAAACAAAAGTTAATTGTATACAGGTTTACGAAACTATATTGGTGAGTACGGAATAAATCGCTGTCTTTACGCAGCACTGCTCCGTAAGAATTGGTATCCTTCCACCAGTACAGTGATTGGTAGAGACCGGGTAATGTAGCGAATGCATGCATTGCTATTGTTTCCAGCCATTTGCGATGATTCTCTCTTAACTACGTCACATTTTAAAAAATTGCCGTTTTCGACTCTGCCGCTAACAGTAATCGCTTTGCCGATTATCAGCTGCCTTATCCATTTTTAATAAGCGTATCCCTTTAACCAACAAGCAATTTTGTAGATATTTTAGCACTGGTTTTATTATATGTTGAAAACTATTGGTTCATGACTGGAGGATGAAATTATTGCAGGTTTGGAATGTTGAGGTTTATTTTGCTTGTAGTTAAAATTTTACTGACAAAAAAAACTTTTTTTAAGAAATGCGCGCCAACGTAATGTTCCTTCATAATGGTTGCATGTTCCTTACGGACCCAGGTCATAGCCGTTTTTGCAGGAACACCTGTTTGAGCAAAAAAAATACATTGGGCCTTTGTTAGGTTTTGCATAGCTGTTACGGAACACCTGAGCAGCTGCACAGCATTTTTAATCGGACGGAGTCGGGGAACTTTTTTTTACATTGCGGACATTCCTGCAACGTCAATGTGCAATCGGCATGCCTGTTGTGATTGAGGTGGTGGGTTTCACCTCTGCGGTTTTAAAAGTCCATATTTCAAGGTGACCTTTCTGCTTCGACAACTCCTTCATTCAGCGGTAATTTCAAAGCCATTTATTTCAACTGCGGATTTTTCTGGCTTAAAAAAATTCTAAAGTAACTTTGTGTAGGAATTCATGGAATGTCCAAATTGCTTGCTGTTTATTTTATGCATTTGGCCCAGATTTGTTCAAGATTTAATATCGCCCACCTCTCTTTTGAACATAATTGCACATTCCATATGATCAAATCTCATAAGTCAAGAGTCGTGGATTATTACACTAATGTACAGCCGTACAAATTATCATGTCCACTTAAAGCTATTTCACATACTGGAATTTTAGTCAAAGTATCTGGAATTGATCCGTTTATTGGTTTGTATATCCAGCAAATATATCAATCTTGTTTGGAAAATTAGTTTTATTCTGAAATTATTGTAAGATTAATTGCTAAATTCAATGTGAAAGTTCCTTATTAATACACTACTCACTCCAACAAGGTTTTGTGGGTCGTAAGCCATAAGGTTATGGTCACTATTTTATTAGCAATATTTTGGATTTTGAATTTTAACAGTGGCATGTGCTGATTTTTAAATACAACTCGTTTCCATAAATGATCCGTCCTGACTCCTGTTCGATTTGTTGTCCAAGTTATTGTGACTGCGAGTGGCCATGTTGTTAAGTCGTTTTCATATCCGAGTGCAGGTGGTGGGCGCACACATTTAGGAGACAAAGGCGGTCGGGCGTGGTCTTTGCCACACCACCGGCTGGTGTGCCGTGTCGGGCTTTACTGCTGCTCGCTAGCAGCCCCAGCAGTCTATGAATGCTACACAAAGGACATTTGTTCTGCACACTCGCACAAAGGTGGAGCAGTAGGTGTATTTGTTAGCACACTGCGCTACTAATCTGGTGACCTGAGTTTAATTCCTGGTCATAGATAACATCAGTGGAAATTATATAGACCGGTCCTGGGCCTCCCCTAGGCCAACTGATCCTTCAATGAGTACCGGGTGTGGTGGATTTTTAATGGCGCTTGAGCAACAAAAGCAGATAGGCTGTGATGCTGGGCTACACAACCCTTTGTGTGCCATGCCAGCCTAAATAGGTACCCGCTAACAGCACGTGACCCAACATGGTTATATTGCTATAGGGGGTTGTGTTATGGGCCGACAAGTAGCTTACTCAGTTTTGTGCTTTGAAATCCCCGTGTGTGTAGTTACTTGTGACCTTTGCCCACTTTATTGTCATCGAAGTAGATTAGTAAGCATTTCATACCTGTATGGGATAACGCAATTTGCAAAAGCACACCACCCGGCTGCACATCCATTTTTAGGTGTGTGTAGTACCTATATTACTACAGGGTATATCGCGCAGCACTACGAACCTGGAAACCTGATTTTACTTCCCGCTCGCGGCCAACACCAGTGACGATTATGTGAACCGGTCCTGGGCCTCCCCGAAGTCGACTCGGCATCAAATGAGTACCTGGTACTGTGTGTAAACATCGCCACTCGGGAGACCAAGACGGTCGGGCGTCGTGCTGGCCACCCACCACCTCATGTGCGGTGCCGGCCTTCATAGGTGCTAGCTAACAGCACTTGGCCCAACAGTCTGTTAAAGGCTAAAGGATAGGTGTTTGTCTTGTAGTAGTTATAGCGTGGGGAGCAGTAGTGCAATGGTTAGCGCACTGTGCTACGAATCCGGCAACGTGATGTCAATTCCCGCTCATGGCCAACACTAGTGAATTGGTTCTGGGCCTCCCCTCGGTCGACTCAGCCTTAAATGAGTACCTGGTGTGGTGTGTGAACATCGCCACTATTTAAGTTTTTATTTTACCAGACAAGGTCCACTAAGCTATATGGCTCTTTTTCAGAAGTGACTTGGCCACAAATAATATCTCAACGAAGTGGCTTATGTGGAAATCTATAGCAGCCAAATAATCAAAATGCGTGTTGATTATAAATGTGGGGGGAAACCGAAGGACCTGGAGAAAAATCCACACGACCACGGGGAGAGACACGCAAACTCCAAATATACAAGCATCAGAGTTGGGATCTAACACACGACATCCTGCATACCAGGTGAGGGAGATAACATCTCGTCACTGGGGAGACAAAGGCGGCCGGGCGTGGTGCTGGCTACCCAGCCCCTCATGCCGTGCCGGCCTTGCCCCAACAGTCTGCTCGGGCTATCCAGGGGGTCTGTCTTTCTTGTAGTAATCACGCACCGTGTTACAGTCCCCCTGCTGCATCCTGATCTCGAATGATTGTGCAATATCCGTGCTCAGGGTGCCAAAGGGGCAGCCAGGTGTCTTTTTGGGGGGGTCAGAACCCCCCCCCATTGTGTGTCATGCCAGCTCTGGTGGTGTTCACCAACAGCACTTGCCCCACACATTCTCTGGGGTAAAACCGGAGATCTTTGTCTTTTGTATCTGGTCCCAGTTACATCAACTTTCCCATGTCTGCTAATCCGCAGGTTAGCCCATCAGGGATAAATGACTTGAACTATCTGGCGCGCGGTAAGTCATGTGAAATGTCCCGCGTTGGGTGTGCCAAGACACGACACTTAGCTTTGCCGGACCCATTCATGCCTCTCTAATCCTAACCGGGGCCCCTCGGAACACAACACCCTCCCCTTCTCCAGGCCAAACATGCCAACAACTTCTATTTCTCTCTCTCGAGGCTAATTATTTGTAATTAAAGCAGTTTGTATGATAAACTGTAATTCAACACGTCCAGGATTCAACAAAAGTTTTTTTTAAACGCGCACACCAGGCAAAGACTATGAATTGTACTTGCCAGTGTAATTTACGAAAAAAAACAAGATATTTGTATTTTTATTTTATTCTGTGTAAGTTATTAAATATCCACCTCGTGTTAGTGATTGAATTATTTTGTATCTTCCACCTTTGTGCTATCGTGTTTAATTTCCAAGGGATAAATGTGCATACGACTTACTTTGTGAACGTGAGAACAAATTGCTAAGTTAAAGCCTACTTGAAAAAATGGCACGATGCAGTGGTTCAGGCGCCCCCCACCACTTACAAGACTGGACAGGATCAACTGTACTTGCCAATGTGAGACACAACACTGGGAGGAAGCAAGAGGAGGGGAAAGACATGCGTGCAGATTGATGCAGGATGAAGATAGCTGAGAGGAAGGATTGAGAGCGAGTGAAGCGGTGGTACCGGCGAGCGAAAGAGAACCATGGCGGAAATTAGTTTGGGCCCCATCATCGATGACGAGTAGATAGAAGGGACGGACAAAGATGCATTGCATTTCCAAAAATGATCTTTTATGGATCGTGTGTATGTAAAGCAACAAGACGTGCCCTTGTGTGCACGCAGCACGGTCTCGGTGTTTGCTGTTGAAGTGCGAAGTTGGGGGGGTCAACTGGGTCATTGCCTCGGCTTCGGGTGCCGCCCTGCTGTTCCGCCGGACCCCCGCTGCCTCGTGCCCTGCGCGAAGATTAGAGAGCGGCAGGTCCAAGACTTCCGCTGCCAGCGCCCCGTGACGACACTCGGTGGGGATTTCAGTAAGCCATCACCCGCTGCACCAGATTGCAGTTCTGCCTGTTAATGGATCTGCAGAAGAGAGCGATGGGGTGGGGAGCACAACACGACAACAACCCGACATGAGACGGTGCCGTCTGAGCCCCACGGCATGAGATCTAAAACTAGAAGCGCTATGTTTATTTTACTAGGTAAGGCCCACTGAGCTACGTAGCTCTTTTTCAGAAGTGACCTGGCTATCACAAACAATAGCTCAACAAAGTGGATTGTCACGTGAACATTTATAGCAGCCAAATACTCAAATGCATATTTCTAAATATTGAGGGAAAAGACCAGAGGACCCAGAGAAAATTCCATGCGACCACGGAGAGAGACACATGCACACTCTAAATATACAGGTGTCAGGGTCGAGATCGAACCCACAAGGAAGTTAACATCTCGCCACTGTGGTGCCCAGATCAACAAGGATGAGAATGGAAGAGCCACTCAACTCAACTGTTGGCAGAAAGTAACTTTTTGCCGGGGATAATTTTTTTTTACCAATTTGTCCAACTTCAGAGGAGCCACTGACTTTTCTCAGGTCAGAGTGCCGAGCTTGCACCACTAAGATTCTGTGCTTAGATCCAGGAAAGTTGCCTGTGATTAAACCAGGGTTTTTACGTGTAGTGGGTTGATGGCCTGAGCCCAGTCACCATATTAATTTGGTTCTGCATTTAATTTGGCTGAATTCCAGCTCCTGCTAATTCGGTGTATCGGTGACTGAAATGCGACAAACACCACTCTGCAGAAGAGTAGGTGGGGAAGTTCTACCCCTTAACCAAATACTATTTGAAGGGATCTCAGAGGTAGCTCTGTCATACCCACTTCCATGGGCTGTTATCTAACACGAAGGGTTGTGTTACTGTGCGAGAGATGAAAACGGATTCGTCTTAGGACGTGACGTCGTTAACCCAACCGGAATAACATTAGGGGAACAAAAATATACGTAAAAAATATATACAAATTTGCAGAGTTGACTTCTGGTTAATTAAAATAAATAAGTCAATGAGGTGGGCAAGGCTGGCAAGGCAACAGCAGCGAGCGCTGCCTGACATTCCGACGGGAGCGGCGGCTGCCAAGAGAGCGGGAGCCTGCTCCGTGCCACGCGAGCCTGGGAAAGGCAGAAGAGAGTCTCTCGCGCTCACGCGGGGGGACCGAATAAACAACCACCGTGGCGGCACATTCCAGCGCCACGCTGGGGGGGGGGGGGGCTGGGCACGCGCACACGCGCATGCACCCTCGAGTCGTAACGTCATTAATCACGGGGACTATAGCAACAAGAATACACTCGGACAGTCAAAACTAAAAAAATACACAATCTCAAAAGAAACCACCCCCCCCCCCCCCCCCATTCTATACCAGTGCCGCTATTATCGTCGCAGCTATTGTTGCCGACCGTAGGGCAACGGGGAGGGGGGGGCGGGAGGGGGGGCGGTTGGAGGAGGGGGGAGGGGCAGGGGAGGACTTTCATTGAATGGGAAAAAAAGAGCCCGTGGCTAAAAATTAAAGCGCATGCCCCTGTCGTTTCTAAGGGTCGGAATTAGAGTGACAACGGGATGAGCAGCAATCATGGAGTTGGGGGTGGGTGACGAGGGGAGTGTCCCGCCCAAGGTGGGGGTGGGGGGGATGGCGGTGCCATTGCCAAGCGCTGCGAGCTCACGGCCTGGGCGCAATGGCACGCGGCAAATTAAAAGCCGTGGACCGCCCTCAGGTGTGGCCCTCGGCATGCTCGTCAGTTGGCCAGTGCTTGCCAGGCCACCGCCGACGAGTATTAATCACAGATGACAAGCATCCGTTTGCTTTATTTGATCGACACTATCATCGGTCCCCTGGCGCTTGCCCGAGGCCTCCCAAGCTGTTGCTCCATCTCACGCTGCTGTGATGCAACAATCCGTCAAGTGGCCGTGCATTTGGCCACTTTCACCGCTCCATCTCCGCGATGGATGGGTCTCTTTTTTGCCTCCATTGGCTGCCACTCCGTCATTCGCCTCGGACATCGATCATAATCCCCATCCAGCGACGTGTCCTGCACTTTTCCTAAACTTTGCCTCAATTGCTCTTTTCATCCGCCAGAATGTACCGTGACGGGGTAAGGTGTGGGGTTTCACAACATTGTTATTCATAACTGCACAAACCCAGTGACACTTTAATACATTATAAAACTACTATTAACTATTTTTCATCTTACCAGGTAAGGCCCACTGAGCTTTATAGCTCTTTTTTTAAAAGCGACCTGGCCACAAATGATATGGCTTATCGCATGGATATTTATAGCAGCCAAATACTTTAAACGCATGTTTCTAAATGTGGAGGGAAAAACCGGAGGGCCCAGAGAAAAATCCACGGGACCAGAGACACGCAAACTCCAAATATACAGGCGTCAAGTTCGAACCCACGACCTCCTGTATACCAGGCAAGGTAGTTAACATCTCCTAGCCACCGTGGCGGCAATTCACAAGCGCTATCGTGCATTCATTGTGAGCGATAGCTGAGCCAGCCCTTCGCCAATGCGATCAAGTATGGTCAATCAACCCCCAACAACCAACAACGGCAGTGGAGCTGACAAAAGGGGTGATGTACGTTGTTATAAAAGGCACAAAGAGCACAGCTGGGGGAATGAGTGACGATGTCAACTTTTCAACCCAGAACCATCAGGCAACTCCCCGCCACCACCCTGCGGGCATCACAGGGCCTCCCGCTCTGCTTGATTGAGCGAGAGATTACCTGTGGGGCTGGAGCTACGTAAACAATTTAAAGGCACTCCGCTTCTTATTCTCCCCGCCACCCCCTCTCAACGAAAGCGATGACGCCAGACTTACTTAAACTCAAGTGGACGATAAGAGTCTTAAAGGGAAGAATACATTAAACATCGTGTCGGCAAAGAACGCGGTTCAGATTTGTTTTGCGTGCACTTGCCGATCACCCTCAAGACTGTGCCCCGAACACGACAAGGCTCGTTTTGCACAAGTCTTGAGTTTGTTGTCCTTTGCCCGCACCAGCGATTAGCACGATTGGCTACGTGCGGTGCGAAAGAAGTTCAACATGCATACATACAAGTCGTCGCAATTAATGGTGCGCGGTGGCACGGTGGTTAGTGCACGGCGCCACGAGCCCAATGAACCTGCGACCTACGCGAGTTTGATTCCTACCCACGGCTAACACCAGTGGCGAGCAACATCTGAACCAGTCCTGGAGCTCCGTCCTCCGACCTTCACAAATCCACAATGGCCAGTGTGGTTAGGTGAGGTATGGTCAAACAACTGTAGGATTCTTAGGGCTCAAAGTTATTTCTCGAAGCTCGCAGAGTGAAACTGAGAGGCATACTCGGGATACTGAAAATTCAACATTAATGCCAAAAGCTCACAAAGCTAATATCATGAGTGGCAACGCCGCGGGAAAACCATCGAGTCGACGATAAAATCCAAAAGCAAATGTAACGAGAGCAGGAACAAGTCTCCCCTCGAGCCATTGTCTGCAAGTGCTGCTTGCCCGCCCACCACCGGCCATCTTTACTTGATGATGTTGGCATCCATGATGCTCCGGACCGGCGTGCTCTTGGGGCCGGGTGACGGGCGGAACACGTGGCCCCCTCCTTTGGTGCCGCCGCTGCCCCCCGCGAGGGCCGATGCTCGCTTGACGATGTATGCGTCCTCCGAGTGCGATGGGTACGAGTCGAACGTGCCTGCCTTCATGCCGCCCATCTGCCGAAAACATGAGGGGTTGCGCAAACGGGATGTGTTTCGTGGAGAGCGTTAATGTCGCGGTTAGCGCATTGTACGACAAATCAGAATATTTATTTGGACCGGAGCAATCTGATGAGCGATAAAGCTCTTTCACGCAGATTTCCAGTCAGGGCGGGTAAGAACGTTGCAACAACAAATAATACAAAACACGATAGGAGGGCAAAGTACAAGAAAGGTAAACAAATCACCCAAACATATACAAATAAAACTAGACCATCCCCATCCTGCCAGGCAAAGCTCACTGAAGTATTAACTTCTTTTTCAGAAGCAACCTGGCCACAAATGATAGCTCAACAAAGTGGCTTATCATGTGGAAATTTATTGCAAAAAAGTTATCTAAATAACCTCAATGCACGAGACCCAAGTTCGTTCCCCGCTCACGGCCACGAACACCAGTAATGATTATCTGAACTGATCTTGGACCTCCCCATGGCCGACTCAACCTCTAATGAGTACCTGGTGTGGTGTGTACAGATTTTTGTTAATTATCTACTTGTACGCACAGGTGACAGCACAGTAAGTGGGTTGTTGACCTATCCATACTGAATTATGTGAGTTATCTACTTACGTGAAATGGCTTTCTTATGGCTGCTCCAGTTTGTCTTATGCATGAAGGATATTTATTTAGGGCACCTCAGGCCTTTGTGAGGCTCACCCAGTTCTCAGGGCTAGGGCAAACTGTCCCACTATTCTATGGCCCTGTGAATTTGCCAACCATCCCAATCCAGGACCATTCCCGAATTAGTCATGAGGTTCAGTGAAATGTATTTTGTTTTACATAATTCAACACAAATATTGATCGGTGCTGTACAAGCTTTCGAATTTTGCAGCAAGGGAGTTTATTTTCCCAATGAAAACTTGCAATGGCCGTGTATTTGCTCCGGATACACGGCCCAGGGTAGAGGGTGGGCAGGGAGAAGATGTGACATCAGTGCGACGCACGAACCCGTCTCAATTCTGTGAGATGCGGGTGACGCCATCACGCAGATTTGTGCAGTAACGTTACCCGCGTGCCAGCCAGCCAGCAATACTTTTTTCTAATATAGTGTAAAAAATATCTTACCTATAAATGTCATTTTTTGTCTGTCTGTCTGTGTCTGTGGACGAAACTTGCGAAGGATTTGGCTCGCAAACCTTGGGGTTTATGTTGAAAAAAAGTATCCAGGTACCACGCCATAAGACCCCATGGTGACTTATGCCCCCACTGAAGACAAACATCCGTGGAAGGATGCAGGCAAGGCCGATGAGTCAGATGCCTTCTATGACCTCCTGTCACAGGTGCTAGCTAAAGTGGCCCCTCGGGATAGAGTCATCTTGTTGGGTGACTTCAATGCCCGAGTTGGTCATGATGCTGGCACCCGGTCTCTAGTGATTGGAATGCATGGGCCAGATCAGCTCAATAACAACAGCAGGAGGCTGCTAGATTTTTGTGCAGCCCGTGGGCTTGTAATTACCAACACGCTGTTCCAGCATCGGCGCATCCACACAACATCATGGATGCATGCCGGGTCCAAGCAAGAACATCTGCTGGACTACATAGTGACGGAACAGCGGATGCCGGCCCATGTCCTTGACACCAGGACCTACCGTGGAGCTGATCTGCCCACTGACCATCGACTTGTCATCTGTAAGTAGTGCCTGCCATTCTTCCACTCCAGTGGTGGGTGTACACCCAGGACCCCATTCAAACCCTTAGTGGCATGGTCTCAGCTAGCTGATGAAAGTTGCAAGCGAGAATTTCATCATTGCTTGCGGCTGGGGTTGGCATCGTCCCCCACTCCTGATGTTGAGGGGAAATGGGCGAGGTTTAGGACTGTGGCTCATGCAGCTGCAATGGCTGCTTTGGGTGCATGGTCCAGACCTCCCCAGAGACCGTGGCTGACAGAGGAGGTGTTCAGGATGGTTGAGAAAAAGCGACAAGCCCACTCTCATCGGCTACAGCATCCCACGTCGGAGAATGAGGAGGCTTACTGCAGCCTTCGCTCGGAGGTTCGGAGAGCCATGAGGCACTGCAAGGATGGGTGGTGGTCGCGGGTTGCTGAGGAGATGGAGTCTGCCTCAATGGCCCACGACCACAAATCCTTATTTAATTCCATAAAAAAAGTAACCTGCAGCGCCACACCTATTACCATCATTAGGGGAAAAAACGGTGATCCAATCTCCGACCTCCAGCAACTGGTTTGCAGATTTGCTGAGCATTTCTGTGAGGTCCTGGGGGAGGGGAAATCCCTCAGCCAGGAAAACATTGTGGCACAAAGTGGGGATGACCCTGCTGAGGCTGCGGTGCCTCAAATATTGGAAGAGGAAGTCACCCCCTGTGAGTGGCTGGCTGAGGTGCCATCTGTTGAGGAAGTACTGAAGGCGATCCAGAGTCTGAGACCAGGAAAGGCACTGGGCAGAGATGATCTCCCAAGCGAAATGCTGAGGGAAGGTGGCGTTTGTGCACAAACTGCCCTACATGACATCATAACAGTCTGGGCCACTGGATGGGTTCCACAGGTTTGGAAGGATGCCCTGGTGGTCCCCCTCTTTAAGAAGGGGGACCGCACAGACTGTAACAATTACAGGGGCATCTCACTCCTCAGTGTGCCAGGAAAGGTCCTGGCAAGGATTATTCAACCTCGCCTTGTTAGGCATGCTGAGGAGAGGCTTGCGGAGCCCCAATGCGGTTTCAGGAAAGGGCGGTCCTGCACAGATGCCATATTTTCTGTCCGTCTACTACAGCAGAGGTGTAGGGAAGTCCAACAAGATCGACATCTCTGCTTTATTGACCTGGTCAAGGCCTATGATACCATACTCTTAGGTTTTTTCGGTAAGTCCTATGATACCATTAGTAGGCCTGGGCTCTGGGTTGTTCTTCGTGCTTTCGGAGTCCCTGACCCTCTGCTCACGCTCATTAAGGACCTTCATGATGGTGAGCGGGCCCGGGTAAAACTACGTGGCCGGGAGTCAGAGCCATTCCCTGTACACCTTGGGGTGCGACAGGGATGTCCTCTGGCTCCAACATTATTTAACATCTATTTTGACCACGTAGTTTGTGAAGCCTTCAATAGCTGTACTGGAGGAATTTCCATTTGGTACAGATATAATGGGAGGCTGATCGATGCCCGGGTGCGGTCAAGAGATGGCTCCCTATTGCTCAAACACGTTATGTATGCCGATGATCTGGTAATTGCTGCTCTCTCAGTGGAGGAGTTAGAGACACTGCTGCTGAAACTGGAACGTTCCACTAAGACAGGGGTCGGCAACCAAAATAACAAGAAGAGCCATTTCTTTCCAATTCGGTACAAAATTCAGTATTTCAAGAGCCGCAATGCATCTGAGTACATACTGTACATATCGTCAAGAAGCAGCCCGTAAAGAGCCGCATGCGGCTCCGGAGCCGTAGGTTGCCGACCCCTGCACTAAGAGGTGGGGCCTTACCATCAGCCCCACCAAAACTAAGCACCTGCCTGGGTATTTTGTACCATCGGACACTCCACCCCCACAACTGCCAATCGGTGATGGGGCAGTTGTGGAGAGAGTGGAGAGTTTCCCATACCTGGGCAGTGTGAATCAGTCGAGCGGCACTATCTTTTCATCGGTTGCGTAACGCTGTGTGGAAGCTACCTGGTCTCTCGCTCCACACGAAGCTTCAGGTCTTCTCGGTCACAGTCATTCCCTCCCTTCTCTACGCTTGCGAAACGTGGACCCCCCTAATGGAGCATCTTCGCCGGTTAGAAACATTTAGTGTGGCCTGCCTACGATCCATCCTGGGTTAACCAGGCTGGATTGTGTGAGGAGCTCACAAATCCTTGAAAGATCGGGGCAAAGTCCCATCGGTGAGCTCCTCCGGCAGGCAAGGCTGCGTTGGCTGGGTCATGTAGCCCGCATGCCCAGCCACCGCATGCCTAAACAGCTTTTGTTCGGCCGGATCGAGGGGGCTAAACGGGCGTGGCACGGGCTAGAGAAGAGATGGAGTGATGTGGTACAGGAGGACGTGGAGCTGAGTGGACTTGCCGATGACTGGTACCAGCGGTGTCAAGATCGGCCTTGGTGGAGGAGGCTCGGGAAGGACGCTACTGGGCAGTTGGAGGCAGTCGCCCTCCAACAACAACGGAGGGTAGAAGAGCGACGCTCACAACAATGAGCGGAGCGCCGGGTGACTAAAGCACAGCAAGTTGGCACAGTAGGGGGCATAGGTGGTGCATCAGCCAGTCATCTCAGTCATCTCAGTCAGTCGACCCGTGGCACCTGGGTCTGCCCCATGACCTCCTGCCAGCGGGCGTTCGACACTTCATGTGGCCTCAAGGTGCACATGGCCTGGCACAAGCATCGTGGTGACGTCACCGCCACTTAATGGCGAATGGCGGTTGTTGTTGTGTGTAAGTCTATGTGTGTGTGAGTCGTTTTGTATGTAAATCCATGTGTGTGTGTCTAAAGTCGATGTCTGTGTGTGTGAGTCCATATGTGTGTGTAAGTCGAAGTGTTTGTTTGTGTGTGGGTCATTGTCTGTGTGTAAGTCGATGTGTATGTGTGTCTTTTTCGCCCAGGCAACGCCGGGTACTTCCTGCTTGTATATCTATAAATAGGCCCGATGTTTGAGCTGCTTACTAAGCACGCGAATCAATTCACGTGTGAATGTTCAACTAAATAACCCCGTAAGAGTGGCACAACAACAAAAACGGATTCTGACTGGCGCAGACACAACCCCCCCTGCCCTGAAAAAAAAAAGACTTTACCCACACCCCCGAATATCCTGAACATCACAGCGGCTGTGAGAAAATGAGTCTAAAACGATTCTCAGAGACGCGGCAAAGTCAACGCGGCTTAGTGGCTCCGAGCGCGTGATTTCTGTTGGAGCCGATGTTGGTCCAGCAAATCCCGATCGAGCCACCCTCTCGCATGATGTAGCACAACCGCCCGATGGATCGCAGATTAAAGCAGAATTTCTGCCTAACTACAGTTCACGATTACAGTCATGACATAAGCTTTCGCGAAATTAACCACGTTAATTGCTGCCAAATTGAGCCGTGTTCTTGCTTTTTTTATGCATTTTTATCGATAAGTTGCCTTGTTGAAGCTTGACAGGTCTATTGTACTACTTCTTCCCGCAGATGAAGTAACATTTTAACTTTTTGCCACTGTAATATTTTCTCCCTTTTATGAAGTCTAAATCAAGGGAGGTATCACAGTCATTGTCGTGGTAAAGTATGGTCGAGTGTAAAGTATGGGCATACTGTGGGGCACCCCTCATCCGTCAGTGAATTGGCAAAGGGCTGCACCCATACTTCACTGCAGTGGAGCTACGTCACCGCAATTGAGTGCTGCCCTATTACCGAGAGCTACGGATCGCCCCAAGACTTAAAGAGATACAGATTAGTGAGATGAATGAGAGATAAGAGAGAGAGAGATGAGAAACCTGGAGACAAGAAAGAGGCACAGATAAGTGCTCGCATATGCCCACGTCATGACGTCACGATGCAATGCGACGTCATCACGCCTGTGCGTGCGTGACGTGTGACACAGCTTGTCAGCATACGTGCCAATTTTATTCGCCAGAAATGTAATTGAAGACCAATGCACGATGCAATTTTCAACCACTGGCCTACCGAGTTTGCACCGAGCTGCTGTTGTGTCAGTGGATGGGAGAGGCTGGGGGGGGGGGCGAGAGCCGATAATTGCTTCTCAACGAGACACTCAATTGTTGTCCTTGTTGAGGCACTGTGTGCCAAAGGTGTTTGATGGCATGGGAACTGTGGCCCGCTGTTTGCCCGCCGCAAACAGCACGTCAACGTTAAAGTGGGCCCTGCCAAAGGCTTGCTGGCTCTCCATTTCGAGTCGTGCAGGACGGGAGAAAAAAAAGATCATTGTCACAATTATCACCGCCGGTGCCGTCGTGAGCATCGTTGAAGCTACCGGTGAGCGCTCGCCGTGTTCCTCGCATCGGAGTAAAATACGGGCTGTCAGTACAAAAATACATATTGCATAAAGCCTCATTGAGCACTGCAGTAGAAACATCAACTGTTATGTGGTTTTTTAGGCCATGTTATTAACAAATGTGTTTAGAGTTTTCATTGACTAAGAGTCTTGGAACTAGGCGAGGCTCCCCTGGGTGCCGCGGTGGCGAGATGTTAAGTCTCTCGCCTGGTATGCAGGAGGCAGTGGGTTCATCCCAACTTTGACGCCTGTATATTTGGAGTTTGCATGTTCTCTCTCCCTGCGGTTATGTGGATGTTTCTCTGGGTCCTCCGGTTTTCCCCCCCACATTTGGAAACAATTCGTTTAAGAGTATTTGGCTGCTATAAATTTCCTCATGATAAGCCATTTAGTTGAGCTTTCATTTGCAGACCAGGTCGCTTCTGAAAAAGAGCTACATAGCTCAATAGGCTTTACCTGGTAAAATAAAAAGTTCAAATTTAGTTTTATTATCGCAGGGAGCGAAAGCATGACACTCTCAGCTGGATGCCTCTGCCGTAACGGAGGCGGCCGCTCTCTGACCTTCTTGGCTGGAGAGCTGGGCTTGAAGGCCTTCTCCGAGGACTTGGTGGCGCGGGGCGGGTGGGCCGTGCGGGCGGGCCGGTCCGAGCGGTACGGGTTCACGTCGAAGATGTCCAGGGGGTGCAGGTTGAGGCGGAAGGGAGCCCCCTTCACCATCTTCTTGTGAGTCTCCATCTCCTTCTGTAGGCGAGAGACAAAACGCCGCCAGGTGTTCGATTCTCCTCATCAGTGTCTGTGTTTTTTTTATACCACACATGTGTAGTACCTGGTAGCAGGTGCCGATTGAAAACTTTCCTCTTTGGGCACACGGATGCCTGAGTGCCACCTCAGCCTTACATACTGCCACATACTTACATACACAGCTTTCAGCGATCTCACACACTTAGAATAACACGTGTGTAAAAAAAAGAAAGCAGGCAGTTCATTCTGTCACTTGGAAGGAATATCTTGACGTTTCAGTCGACGGACCTTTAATAAGATTGTGACTTTGCCCGTGACGTTAACTGCTGATGCATGAACACGCATGGCAGCCCGACACCTTTGCAGCAGCTTTAACAGCTCAACGTGGACATTTTAAAGTTGTTGACGGCTTTATCGCCGCGACGTTTAATCGAATCCATATTAATCGACGAGTGCCCAGCCATTCCCGACATCGAGTACAAAGCGTTGGCCGGTTAATTCGGGTTGAAACATAGTTGTCCACTTTCGACGCTTTCTTTGTTAATACAAGCAGAGGAGGTCTAAGTAAATTCCCAATGGGGGGGGGAGGAGGGGAAGACAAAGATGTCAGTGTTCTATCTACAGGGCTTCATTGGGCCACTGACACCATTATTTTCTCTCTCTCTCTCCCCCTATTTAAACAGAGGCTCTTATTTTTACTGAATGTGCCAGGAAGGCTTAAGAGGGCACTTCCACTCCAATGCCATTGTGCACCTCGATCTTCCAAAGTCTGGTCCCATGACCGGGGAACACACAGGTGTGGAATCTGAAGGTAGGAGACCTCGAAAATCCTTGGATTCCCGACGCCATGTTCTCAAAACAACAAAAAAGAGTCAAGCTACGGCTGATTTTAAATGATACCCCTAATAGTTTTTTTTGGGTTAGATCACGTAAATAGAAATGTGTCGTTAAACCCACCACCACCCGACACAGCAAAATAGTAAAGTTTGTCATGTAAACAAAATGTTATTATTAGTTCAGCACGACGATGTGCTCGAGAGTAAACCCACAACGTCTACAATTACTCTCCAACACACCCGTGGGCTGAACAAGTAATGAATTGGCACATTTAGTTTATGTGATAAACCCTACTAATTCGCTGTCGGGTGGTGGCGGGTTTCACGACACATTCATATTTACACAATCTAACCCAAAAACCTCGATAATGGATATTGGTGAACAGATTTTGCACAGACAGTCCAGGACACGCGTGTGCAGTTTAACATAACTCTGAGGTTAAAGCATCCAGTACTGTTCCACGATTATCCTTTGAAGGATATCTTTAAAAAAATATGACAACCCACAATCTGGAAGTGCCTATGAATAGTTTCGTCCATCTATTTATCTCTGTATCTGTGTGTCTTTTGTCTCTTTGTCTGTGTCCGCATCGTTCTCTATATATGCCTCTGTGCCTGTCTGTCTCTCTGTGCCTCTCGTTGGCAACGTCTTTTTTTTGTTGAGTCTAGAAGTGGCTGCAAAATGTGAATTGTTGAGTTTGTTTTGCGGCCATCTCTCCTGCTGTGTTTGTCTCACCTGATGACGATTGCTTGTGTTGCGATGGAAACGTCGTGATCTATAAATTTTCTATCTACGTGACTTTACCAAAAGAACAAAAGAGTATGGATTCCTACAGTCACGAAAGCTTCAAATGAAGATTGAATAATGTGTTCCAATTAAGCTAGAATACCTTGGTTATCTTTTAAAAATATATATTTGTGGCGTAAATGGGTTTTTTTCTCTCTAGGACATGGCTCAGCTATACCTGGCTTAGAGATGGCGTGGTGGTGGTGGTGCACGCCTGGCTTAGAGATGGCGTGGTGGTGGTGGTGGTGCACGCCTGTGATCCACCCACCCGGAGGCAGGGTGGGTGTTGCATCTGCATTACATTGAATAACAATTCCTTTCCCGGTAGTTTTTAATGGGTTCTTAAGATTCAGTGCTCAGACGATGTGAATGCATGGCTGTTTTAAGCCCTACCTTAGTTAATAAGATTACAGCAGTGATGGCGGTGGTAGCTAAATGATTGGAACCACGTCCGAGTACGACCATCGCGGAGATGGAGCAACGAAATGAGCTCGCGTGCGGGTGCTAGGTGGATTGTTATGTTGCAGAACCCGTAAAAAGATGGCAACAGCTTGGGGTGACCTTCATCCAGCAGTGGATTAATCACAGATGTTGATAATGATACTTTATTTGTTTTGATGCTGTATGACCGTTGCAATTTGTACTTTTCTACTTTCCTAGGTGTCCCTTGAAAAAGACTCAATAGACTTTCACCTCGTTGTAAGTAGATAAATGGTCACATATGCATGAGACACCTACCGAGACAGTACATAATTAGGTTGCTTACCGTCTGCAAAGAACTACTCTGAAAATCTCCCCAGTGGGCCTAGCGAGTTAAACATAGCCACGACATCACCTTTGCAAAGGTCACGAATGCGCGCTCACTCACTCACTCGCACGGTTGGTGGGAGGATCTTTCTCCTGCAAAGCGAGCAAACCAGGTGCGCCATTAAGAGTAACCAAGAGATAATGTCCCCTTCTTCGGCAATTGCCATGCTAAAGTGCGCAGGCTGAATATGAACAGCTACGAGACTGGGTTGTCTTTCGAGACTCAGCGCGTGGGTTATTTTTGGCCCAGGTGGCCATTAAAGTAATTGGCGAGGTAATTGTTCTCCATTTTAGCATACCATTAGAGTTCGCATGTCAAAGCTCTTTTCAAGATAAACGTAGCTCAGATGCGTTGACTCGTAATTATTTGACGGGTGAGGCTGCGTAGTTTATTTAAAGAGTGGTGATCATTTGTTGTGATGCGTTTAAAAGAGAGAGTCTTTTAAGAATGTGTGTTTTAGTTATTGACTCGTCTTTTAGATACCAGCATTACCGACTCAACTGCGCAACTCGTCAAAATAGTGACGACTACTCTCCGATGTGTTCGGGGTTGGACCGTGCGTTGTTCGGCACGGTGTCCGACATTTGTTGTTGTATTTAGTTTGCTGTCGCCCTTCCGCTGCGCCTCCGATCAGCACGGCTGGCTACGTACGGTGCGAAGGAAGTTCAACGTACGTGTTGACATTGGGAGCTTCTTTAAGAGCTAAGAAGGAGCTTCCAGCACGTGCGTGGAAACGTCGGACACCGTACCCAACAACACGTGGTACCACCCGACAACACAATCACAGGGCTACATCAGACAACGGCAAATGCCTACGAAGTATTCACGGTAACAGCAAAACCAAAAGAGCGAGAGATGATACCAACGTTCACCAAGTACTGCACTTTCATGGTGACGTTTTTCCTCTCAAGAGGTTGATTGGTTTTACCGGTGTTTTCAACAGTAGCCTTGTTCGATATTGGAATGGTGTCCCAGGCAGTACAAGAATCATTGATAAAATATTTATGCTTGATTTGATTATTTCTTCTTCTTAATTGAATGTTGTTTTTCGATTTAAAGCTTTCGTGACTGCAGGGATTCATCTTCTTGGTTCTTTCGGTAAAGTCACGTAAAAAGGAAATAATAAAATAATAAAAATAAAACATAATATAATTGTTATTACTTTATTATTTCCCTTCCACGTGACTTTACCGAAAGAACGAAGAAGATGAATGTTGTTTATTTACTCTTCAATTGTGCATTCTTAAATATAAGTCAGTTACGATCCAAGTCTGCCTCTCCCCGGTTACCTGGGTGAATAGCTGGCTATGTCTTCATCCAATCCTGGCCAGTTGGATCAAAACTCAATTCATGCAATATAATGACGATGCAGAGTGTGCAATCGCACTGGCTGAATCAAGTGTATTACTGTCGTCGTTACATGCAGGACAAAGTAACACGCAATAGCGCTTCTCCATGGTGTACCGGCCGCTTTCTCTGACGAAAGTGCCATCGTGTGACGTATAAACTTCGTAAACATGTTCTAATGGATCAGCGATTGTGATTGAGTTGCCTCATCTCCTCACATCTCAGAAGCTAAGCAAGGGGTGAGCCTGGATAGCCCTTCAACCAAGATGCTCGCCCGGTTGTTGTATGTGGCTGTGGCACTGTGCTGTGTGGTGGTCCCCACAGGGTGCTGAAGCAAGATCTAAAACTAAAAACTAGTTTTTATTTTACCAGTGAAGGCTCACTGAGCTATATAGCCTTTTTCAGAAGTGACCTGGCCACAAATGATAGCTCAACGAAGTTATCACGTGGAAATGTATAGCGACCAAATACTCTAAATGCATGTGTTTAAATGTGCAGGGAAATACTGGAGGACCCGGAGAAAAATCCACTCGACCTTGGGGAGAACTTGGAAATTCCAAAACAAACCAGGCATCATGGTCGAGATCGAAACCACGACCTCCTGCATACCAGGTGAGGGAGTTAACATTTTCCCACCACGGCACTCTTATAATAGTTGTATTGTATGTCTTATGCTTTAGTATACAGTAGATCTATGCCACCACGGCGATGCTACCTGCCTTCATAAAACCATCCACATTAACCAGCGTGGTGGGGTATGGTCAAATGTGCCCCTGGGGAGGCCCTCATCCAGCAGTGGACTGGCAAAAGGGCGGTACATGTACATATAGAAGTACACAGCACAAGTAAACGCACATATACAATATTTCCAGCTTTCATTTGCGGCGAAACGTCCTACAAATATTGTCAATAATTTGCGAGCTTTTTAACACTCCACTGGTTTTATTCATAAACCACATCAATTGGCATTTGTGCATGCGTGGCAACTTTGTTTTATTGGCTCGGCTGGGTGTTGGAGGGTTATAATACCAAAAAAGAACACTGACATTATACAGGCACGATCTGACCTGAAATAATTAGGAATCGATTTTTTTTCAGCATTTTCTTCCACACCAGCACCAAACCTCCTATCTCTCTCTTCCTGCTGCTTTTCATTTGAAGCACTGCACACAGTGTTGCCCATGGTAACAATCCCCAGGCGAGTTTGCCCCACTGATGGCTACCCAACCACCCTCATTGTCACGTGCGGCAGTGCACACATGCGAAGGTCTCCTCCTTGTGGGGAGTGACGCCTGCGTCCGTACCCAAGTGCGACTGCTGCAGCTGCGCGGCAGTTCGCGGCACTGTGCAACGAAACCCGGCAACCCGAGTTCGATTCCCGATCACGACTGATAGCAGTGGCGATTATCTGAACTGGTCCAGGGGCCTTCCCTAGGTCGACCCGGCCTTGAGTACCTGGTGCGGTGCGTAAACATTAGCAGTGGGACGACAAAGGTGGACCTGCGTGGTGTTGGACACCCACCCCCTCGTGTGCCGTGCCGGCCTTCGTAGGTGCTACTCGCTAACAGCACTTGTCCCAACAGTCTGTTAAAGGCTGCTGCAGCAAGTAACGATGCATTGATATGCGAGTTGAATTGATGGCTGCAATCCCGACACACATGCTCGAATTGTAGGTATGAGAATCAGTAATTCTCTACTTTTGCAAAGTAGATGCTAAAATCACATTTAGGCTCATAGTGTGAACAAAATGGCACAAATGAGACAAACTAAAAAAATATTCATTCCACGCGATAAGCAACTTCGTTGAGCTCTCATCTGTGGCCAGGTCGCTTCTGAAAGATAGCTACATAGCTCAGTAGGCCTTACCTGCTACAATTAAAATAGGTTAATAGTTGAGTTTAACTGTTCAAGTTACAAACGGGAGAAGTTAAAGAGAAGAGAACATCAGCACGATAGAGTACTGATTTCAGAGAATGAGCTTTTCCAGATTCGTGATCGAAGGTCGTGTTCTCTGGATTATAAGAGGCACTCATTCCCCTGTATTTCAAAGCACAAAGTTGGGCAGGTAGTTGTGTGCCTGAGATCAGACTGTTATAACGTTATTGAAAACGTGCACAAGCTTAGGGTGTATCGTACTTTCTGTAGCATCTTATAACTTAACTATTCTTATTTTTACTCTACTCTTTGGGTCTTTCTTAGTTATTTTTATTTTACCAGATGAGGCCCACTAAGCTATAGAGCTCTTTTTCAGAAGCGACCTGGCTACAAATGATAGCCCAATTAAGTGGCTCATCGTGTGGAAATTTATAGCAGCCAAATACTCTAAATAATATGGAGAATATGGTAGTCAAGCAATTGTGATGAAACAATTTTCATTGTCTCATCACCATGCAGGTCTTTAGCATTTGTTTTAAAGTACAATGTATGGATTACCCTCATCAACATGGCTCAATTCCAGGAGGCACACATCAGCGAGTGCCCGCACACAAACTGTACCTTGGCTTGTATCACCGAGTGTTCCGTGGGTTTCGTCACATCTGGGTAATGAATGAACGGCTGGTAAATTTCCATACGATTCTCAATACAGGAGCAAGAATACTGAAAACAACTTTGACCTCCAGATTAATGTTTAAACAATCGGTGCCGCGACTGACGAAGCACCACTGTTGCATAGAAACACATGGCCGAGGGTTTGTTATTAGAATGCGTTTTATTTGGAAAATTATTTTCTAACGAGCGTGTGAGCCGAATGTACTTGTTCAGTGCTTGCCTTATGAGACTATGCTGAACCTCTTACAACAGCAGGTCGCTCACCTGCGTCTGACAAATCAATTGGGATATTCATTAAAAAGAGGTTTGTAACGTATCGTTATAAGCTCTCAGCCATGTGTGACATGTGCACTTTGGAAGAACCCAGAGCCAGAATTTGTTGTCCAGTTGGAGCCAGAGTTCACCTACAGGGTAACGTTTGTTACCGATTACTTAATTGCTTACCCTGCGGATCTCTTTTGCGCGGTCGTACGGGTCCGGCATATATGGAGGCAGGGATCCAATCATCACCTGGGGGTACCTGTCACCAAAAAACGAACATTTACATTCTACAGAGACACCTTCAAGAAATGGCCTATGACCAAATGTATGTATGTTAAACTTCTTTCGCACCCTACGTAGCCAACCGTACTAATCACTTGAAATGTGCCTGCTTTCATCAGATCTTAAAAACGAAGCAGGTTTGAGCCTGGCTAGTGCTTGGCAAGACAACCAACGTGAATAGCAGGTCGTTATACGCTACGGGGCTCTGCTGTGGGCAGCAGAGGGCAGTGCAGCAAAATAATTGGACTATTCTTCGGGTCTTTCGGTAAAGTCACGTAGATAGGTTCAAAATTTATAAAAAAAAGAAACAAAAAATCACGACGTTTCGATCGCAGCACAAGCGACCGTCTTCAGGTGGAAAAAAGGGGGGTAAACTCCTCAAGGCAAGCTGTCTTTCAAGGTTTAAGATGGGCGCAGCCCAAGTGTCAGAGTGAAGTGGGCGGGGGCAGGTGCCCTGGGGCCAGCACACCGCACTTGTGCCCAACAAGTGTGTGTTTTACTTCCCACATTAACATCACCATCTCCACTTGTTTTGGCCGCAGGGCACCTGTACCCCGCCTACTTCAATCTGAATTCCTGCAGTCACGAAAGCTTTTAAGTCAAAATTGTACTGTACTTCTATGCTCCCCGCCTTGGCCAATCCGCATCGACCAGCATGGTGATGTGTGGTCGAATAACCCCTACCACACCACATGCACGATGTGGATTGACAAAAAGGCTGTGCCTGTTCACAAAGGCTGTACGTGTACACAACGGGTCAGTTTGTTAGCAAAGAGGTCAGTGTGTTTGTTACTTAGCCAAGCCGTCACAAACTCAACTATTTGAGTGTTGCAGTCGTTTGGCAATTTTTCCTTACCATCTGAATGTCTCACGGACATTAAAGCCGCAGTCACATCACCATACGTGAGAGCAAACCACCTCGAGTGTAAACATAACAGATCAACTCCCGAATGTTTAAGTAGCCACAAAGCTACAATCACCAAAAAGTCCACCTGAAGAGGCTTTCAATCACCAAGACTTAAAATTATCATGAATAAAAAAAACCTCATCGCCAGGCAGCATTATGCATATCCGCCTGTGCTGTCCGCCGAAGTTCCCTCCACCTTCTTCTACCTGTCACCACCTTCTCCGCTCTTATTACTGTTACATCCCAAGTCTCTGTATACGATGTATTCCCTTCTACTCCTAGTCCTAGGTCTTCCGTCTTCCTCTTTTCAATATTCCAGAAAAGACAAATTAAAGAACATTCAGGGTATTTAAACAATACCTTACTGAGAGACGATGAGGTGCAACACATAAAACAACATTCTGGTTTCAACTGCCCACTTGTCCATCCGTACCCATATCCAGTTCCTTTCTTCGGTGGGTTCGTGACAAAGTTCCTCCCCGGCGCGCTGTATGGCTTCTTGGAGAGCTGGGCTGGACTCAAGGCTGGGATCGGGCCACCCAGCGTGCCGTAGTAACTGCCCAGCCCAGACCTGTGCACACAGCGTAGGTTGCAAAATAACATCAACGATACTCTTTGGTTCTTTCGGTAAAGTCACGTAGGTAGAAAAATAAAATAATATATCACGACGTTTCGATCGCAACACAAGTGGTCAGGTTATCATATAACCTTGTTGTAACAGCTCTCTCGCTGGTTCAGCAGTTCCACTGCTGGGTTTTTTTTTCCGCCTGAGGACGACCGCTTGTGTTGCGATCGAAACGTCGTGATATGTTATTTTTTATTTTATTTTTCTACCTACGTGACTTTACCGAAAAAACCAAAGAGTATGGATTCCTGCAGTCACGAAAGCTTCAAATCAAGATTGAACATCAACGATATCGTAACGGCACATTTGCCACATTTTTTTTACATTTACCACATTGGTTAAATGTCAGCTGACCGTCTTGACACTGGTGGGACAGAGCTCTGACATCGTTATAATTGTTAAGGTGTTTACTTTGTTTGACACAGGGTTACTCTGAAAATAAGTGACTGTTAGCCTCCACGGGGTCTCATGTCAGAATCTGTATTAATCCTGGAGAAATCCGATGAGCTGCAAAGCTCTTTTCACAGATGTCCAGTCAGGGTGCGGTGTCAGTTACAACAATACAAAAAAAAACAATAGGAGTGTAAAGTATAGGTAAGGTAAGCAAATCACTAAAATAAATACGTAGAAATAGATAAAGTATATAAGTTCAAATTGCATAAGTACACCAATTCCTAAGCTTGGGCAAGGCAGTAAAACAACAGTAAAAGCAGTTGCAGATCACACTAAGACAACACACAGTCTCTCAATAAAAATATGGTAAAATATAAATTATATGATTCTAATTGTTTACATTTTCGTTACACATAAAATTCGTACGAGTATTTTGAGCTCCCAGAACTACCCAGTCGTTCACATGAACTAAACAACGGCATGACATCACCAGAAGAATAAACATATGCAGTAGTGTGACACGGTTGTCAGAAGTGATAAATAACGAACTCTGTTCCCTGTCGAATTTCACCCCCTCTTCATAGCCCAGGTGCCTGGGCTCCTCTGGCCCATGAGCCCCAGTGCAGTTGCCAGGCCTGCACATTCAACAGCTGCGCCACCGAGCGCACGGTTATATTCCAGCTCTACGGCCCACGTTGCCTCGACCGCCCAGAGACTCACGGTTTCTTGGGGCAGCTGCTCGGCAGCAGGGCCTTCCCCAGGTTCTTCTTGGCCTCCTGCAGGCGCCGCTGGCGGCGGATCTTGATGGGGTCGCTGTAGGCCTCGCCCTGCATGACGCGTGTGAACCCTTGCGAGAAGTACCCGGCCGGGAGCGCCGAGCGCGACTTGGGTCCCTCCGTCAGCATCTGGCGGCCGTGGTTGGCCGCCGCGTTGAACGCCTCTGTTGGGCACGCAGCAGGGGCCCACCGCCCGCATCAACCACCGCGAATAGGCACCACTGCGACATTGGAGGAATGGGTAGCACACTGGACGTGTGACCCAGAGGTTGCTGGTTTGATTCGAATTCCCAGCGTGGCAGTTGAAACAATGGAGCAAGTTTTCCCCCCCCCCCCACCACCTCTGTCCACCCAGCAGTATACATGAGTTCGCTGCAGTGAGTTTATTGGCACGTCGCGTGTGGTGGGGTAAAGTGTGGGTACTCCCATCTCTTCCAAGAAGTCTGGCCATAATGGAAGAGTACGCTAAATACGCTCTAGAGAGGCTCTAGAGCTCCCTTTCGTGAAGGCCTTTCCACCAGCAGTGGTGTGAGCAATTAATTACCGGGCTGCATCTTCACCTGATGGAGTGTCTTTTTGGTTACATGGGAGGAAACCGGAGTGCCCAGAGGAAATCCACACACCTGGAAGGGTACCTAACAAGGGTCAGAAATCTACTTGCTGTACTGCCATTCACTCGAAATCTCGAAGCCATGCAGGAAGGTGCCTAATGCGCATAATAATCTCTGCACGATTCCACTAACCCCAGCTATAGAGCAGTGCTGGTTGGTAGCGTTACACCACCACCACGCCTGGCCTTTTGAGTGTCTAATTCACTTCGCTCTGAACCTGGATATATCTTTGTTTGATTCCCAGCTGTGGCCAACATTATCCCTCTCAGACCCCCCACTACCCGACTTCAACAACCTTCACTCACCATTACGATCGTTGTGTGGTTAGTGTGGCCAAGTAACAATCCCCATGATGCACAGCGTGCGGAGGCCCTCATCCAGCAGTGCACTCACAAAAAGGGTTGTGTGTGTGTGTATGCATGCAAGTACCAAAGAAAGGTCGTGTTGTTAAAGAGTGCAGAAGCCATCATACGGGCGAAGAGAGAAAATGAGACAAAGGAGAGAGAGAGGCCACAGGGAGAGATGAGTCAACTCAAGGGAACAGCAGAAACGAGGCGCTGGCAATGCGAAGTTTTTTGTAATTTCCCACAACTTTTATCCCAATGCCATGTATGTATGTTGAACTTCTTTTGCACTGTATGTAGCCAATCATGCTAATCGGAGGTGTGGGAGAAGGACAACAAACTAAACACAAATAGCAATTCTCTATATTTAACAGTGCATAGCTCCAGTGGCTTCCTAATATCGAAAGGGGAAGGGCGTTCCAGACGACCGCTGAAACACATCTGAAAGCGCGCGATGTGGTGACCGCCTTTGTTCGATGGCCAGCCAAAAGCCGCTGTTGCCAGGATGACCACCGGAGTTCGCGTGACGGTGGTTTATGCTCCTTGACGAGATCAGCGAGGTGTCGTGGTTCATTTGTGGCAAGCACATGTGTGAGTAATGAGTGTGACCTTCTGTGATGTGAGTGAGCGAGCGAGTGGCACGCACTGTTGAAGCTGGACTTGTATTTGTCGCCGATGCTGATGTATCCCAGCTCGCTGAAGAGCCCCACACGCTCCATGTCTGTTTTACCGTCGCTCGGCATGGCTGGGCTGTGTGCGACCCTTGTAGCCACGCGCACAAACACACGCAATATAAACACACACAAGCATACACATATACATGGTACAGTTAATATATTTACAAAGGTCTCCCCCTGCAGCTTTATCATTAACCAGCGTGGACTATCGTCACATAATCCTCACAACCCGTTCAGCTTGGGGAGGCGCTCATCCAGCAGTGGATTGACAGAAGGGCTGCACGTGTACGTACTGACGTACATGCCGTAAATACACAATGCAACTGTGCAACACGAAGCTGAGAGTATCACAGATCCCCAGGTATTACTGAGCAGCGGTCAATGGTTGAGGTTAAACCTGCACTTACCTTCTATATGCCGCACAAGAGGGAATTCCAAAGGACAGCAAGTAGAGCACGACAATATCTACACTTTAGCTGCAGCTGCTGTAGCGGTGCTCACATTTTAAACGTGACAGCATCGGGGAAGTTAAGTTTCCACTGCCGTGGTGGTAGTTGTAACAATAGGTCTGCCGTGTTGTGGCTCTGTTGCCTTGGTAGCAGCATTGGGTGGTAATAAGTTCCATAGCAAAGGCATGATTGGCATACCTTAATACACACACACTCGCATGTAAAGAGTACTGTCTACAATGCACATGGCCTTGTCAATCCATTGATGGACGTAGGCCTTACGGGGGGTTTTGTTTCACCATACTTCACCATGCTGGTCAGTGCCAGTCGGTGGAGGGGGCCACTGATGTCAGCCACGGCCGGTAATCAAACTCTCACGTTGCCGGGTTCATAGCACGCGGGGCGCGCGCGCTAACCACTCCACCGACCACTTCACCCACACAAGTACTGCACTGAAGTATGTGTGCCTCTTTGATTCAGATGCTCTTAGCAGGCAAGAGCTGCTGTCCGCCACAAATCTGGCTGTCCTGCCTGATGATGCTAGTTGTAATAACTGGCGAAACGTCGTACTCAGATTGTAAATGTTGTGGATTTACTCTCCAACACACCGGTGTGCTGTACTGTACTAGTAACGAATTGGCATGTTCCGTTTACGCGACAAACCCCTTACTAGTTGGCTACATCGGGTGGCGGCGGGTTTAACGACAAATTTCTATTTATGCGATCTAACCCCAAAAAAACCCCTATATTAAGGCAAGAGCTAAATAGGACAATATTTATTTGGAAGTGACTTCTGCAACCGGATTTTCTGTTTATATCCAATGATAGACAAGGTGAAATTTATATCACAGACCTTCCTCGGGTTTCACTGTCTTCGCGAAATGAAGGGATGCCACTTGTTTCGTTTTCATGAATGATTAACGGGTTATGGTTTGGGGTTATTGTTAGGGTTTATGGTTAGGTGTTAGTCAGGGTTCAGGGCTTAGGTGTCACTGTCATGGTTCAGAGGTTAGAGTCAGGTGTCACACTTAAGATTTCGGGATATGGTTCAGGGTTTGTAGTTAGGGGTCTGGGTGTAGGGTTTGGAGTTACAGTTATGGTTCAGGATTAGGGGTATGGGTTTAGGTTCGGTTTAGATTCGTCCCAAATCTGTGGGAATAGTAGTCTAAGTTTACTTATGTTACAAATGGAGTAAACAGCTGTTAAGTCTTCATTGGTTGTCACTTGTTGATCCAGGCCACCTTTCAAATATAGACTTGAAGTATCATAGAGATGGTGTCGTTGAAGTATCAATGAGCTTTTAGCTGGTGAAATCAAGCCTATTGATAAATCAAGTTCCTTCTGTACAACCCAAGTGAGACAAACATCAAAACAGTGCCTATTGAACGTGTAGCCACCTGCTGTAGTTGTTGGTATTAGACGTTAAGATGCGGCTACGCTCGCGATGCCAGTCCAACACCACCTCTTGTTAAAACCTCCAGTCGATGAGAGGTTGCTCCTTCTCCACTGCTGCCAGTGTGTAACCACACTGCAAGATACATATACACCACATCTGTTAAAATCCAGGCACAAGACTTTCTTCTCCGCCGCCGGTCTTCGTCTGCACCTTCGGGACGTAAAATCCCTTCGGCTCATGCCTCCCGATCAAGATATCGAAATCATCTCAAGCCTCCCGTACACCGCGTGACTTGCATGTGGTCTCCCACCACTCTGAGCCTATCCACAACCCTCTCTGAAAACACACTCCGTGTTCAGCTGGTGGCCCTTATGTTGAGTAGTAGACGGAGGTACTCGGAGACGGAGGTGAGTAAGGGGCTTCCGCCAGGGTTTATTAACACGTATCACTATCCCTGGTTCCCTCTTTACCCCTTCTACTATCCCCGTTCCTCCAGTGACCCCGCTTACGTCACGGGGTCTCCCTTAAATACCCTCTGAGGCGAGACGTCACGTGCACTGCCCAGCGCGTGCGACCCCGCGTCCCGTGATGTCACCGCACCGGACAGCGCACACGACGCCACCACTCTCCTCTACTCCTCTACACTTATATAAGCCTCTTCCTCCCTATGCTCACCTTTCGTTTCCTTTCACATGATTTCCCATCCGAGCTCTCCTCTCTTCCCCCCTTTTCCATACGTTATCTGGATTGATAACTTTTAAGTCGAGATTGAAAACTCATTTCTTGAGAACTGCCTTTTGCGTTTAGTTTTGCTGCCCCCCTCCCGCACATCCGATTAGCACGGTTGGCTACGTGCGGTGCGAATGGAGTTCAACACACACACACAGTATTACCCTGCTCCTCTTCGTGTGCTGTGCCACAGGTAACAAAAAATGCGTCTCCAGAAAAATAAAAATGCGCGTTATCGTATAACCATATGAATTGATGATACGGTAATACTACATACTTCGTCTTAGGTTTAACACGTAGGCTTTCGCGACCAATATCATCCATTACAGATGTTTTTTTTGTTAGATCGCGTAAATATATAAATGTGCAAGAGCGCAGAAGCAGTAAGACTTCTCCACAAATCTGGCTGTTGCCTGATGAAGCTAGTTGTAATTACTGGTGAAACGTCGTACTCGGATTGTAAATGTTGTGGCTTGGCTCTCCAACACACCGGTTAGTGCTGTACTAGTATACTACACTATACACTACACTAGTGCTGTACTAGTACACTACACTATACACTACTATACACTACACTATACACTAGTGCTGTACTAGTGACGAATTGGCACGTTCTGTGTCGGGTGGTGGCGGGTTTTAACGACACATTTATATATTTACGCGATCTAACCCAAAAAAACCAAAGCCTTAAGAATCGATAACATTAGATAAGTCAATGCATCATTATTTCATATACTCCATCCAATAATATATGCTAATTTAAAGTATGTTACGGTAATAATGGAACCTTTTACTGATGTTTCCTATTCCAGTAATGTATTAAATAATAGGAATAACTGTCAGCCTTTTGTCAATAAACTTCTGGATATAAAATGTTTTCCCTTGTGATGGGACTTAAAATAAAATTGTATTTCATACCTACGTGGCTTTACCGAAAGAACCAGAGTATGGATTCCTGCAGTCGCGAAAGCTTCAAATCAAGCGAGGAGACTGAATGTTGTCCTGTAACGATGGAGACATCCTCACCGTGCCTTGTTCTTGTTGTCCCCGAGTGACCGTTCCTGACCGTTTCTTGTGCGAGGTTGCGTGAGGTTGGGAAACTGAATAAAGTGTTGCAAATAAACACCCCAACAATTGTGCCTGAATAATGATTAAGTTTTCATCGCTGCATTTTACCCGCTACGACGCGTAATATTGTGGCTCAGAAACACAAGACACTGGATAATAAGCATGTCACAAACGCGCGAAGCTGTTGCGCGCCTTGGATTACGCTCGAAAGAGACGATGGGGACCACGTGAATTGTAGAGCAAGTTGGAGAGACTTCGTGTTTGACCGCTTATTGATGACTTTGGCAGGACACGGCTAAAAGGGACGATGGCCGGTGGTCGAGACCAAATGACGGGAGTTTCTAGCCAAAGGTGAAGAGAGAACGCGGCCGAGATGACATCCGCCGCGGAGATGGAGCGATGCAATGGGGCGCGTGAGCACGTGCTCAGACTGTAGCATCATCGCAAGGGCGGCTCGCACGCCTCGTCAACCTGTTGTCGTCGGTGCCCTACCTTATTGCAGACCAATTCAGCACGTATTGGTCACCCCGTGCCCCTTATACATCTCAACCTTCATCCTACAAAGTCCCATCACAAGCGAGAAACACAAATAGACAACACATTGTGTTCGCCCGTATTGAAACGGCTGCACGCCGCATGGACCTGCAAACTCAATTCACTTGCACAAGAACACGGGTTAGACCGTATGGGTTGACAGGTATGATGGGCTGGGTAGGCAGGGTAGACTGTGACTTATGACTGTATTCCAAGTCTCCCTTGAAAAAGATACAGTACTTGGTATCGTATTGCCGTTGTCCCGTTCGCTTTTTGGCGTTCTCCGCCATAGAGGAGGCTGTCTCTTGTGTAGGCCAATCAGTTCCAACAGCAATGCATACAGATCTTTATCGACCGAGTTCGTTTGCATGTTTTACCATAAGCATGTGTCACAAACACAGACTTGATGCCTTCCAATAGATGTCCATTCGATGTTTAAGCATCTTAACGCCTGTTTATTGCAGCAAAGGGTATAACGCCTATGCTTTTATGTATATAAAGTACGTAGAGTATAAATCTTCACTTACAGCTTTCGTGACTGCAGGAATTAATATTCCTTGGGTCTTTCGGCAAAGCCACGTAGAGAGCGGCTTTACCGAAAGACCCAAATAGTAAGTTGAGTAGTATTCCCAACGCACGTGCACGTTGGTGGGACACGTGCACGTTGGTGGGACGCGTGCACGTTGGTGGGACGCGTGCACGTTGGTGGGACGCGTGCACGTTGGTGGGACGCGTGCACGTTGGTGGGACGCGTGCACGTTGGTGGGACGCGTGCACGTTGGTGGGACGCGTGCACGTTGGTGGGACGCGTGCACGTTGGTGGGACGCGTGCACGTTGGTGGGACGCGTGCACGTTGGTGGGACGCGTGCTGGGGGTTGGCGAGCGCGTTCCGAACCTCCACACTCACCACGTGCTCACACACATTCCGAAACGCCAGCGGTTCCCAAAATGCGCTTCGCGGAGCCCCCCCTCCCCCCCGGTGGCTCGCGGAACAATAAAAAAACAACATCCTGACCAAGGCTAATACACAATGTCAAATAACTCGCAGCGTCTGGTTTGGTTCGCGAAATATTTGGAGGTTGACGAAAGTGGTGGGGGCTCACACTGGAAACCGGGTTGCTAACCGCCCCCCCCACAACCGCAATTACCGCACGCGCACCGCCTCAGATTCCCCACGACTAATAAGCGCGGCCCGCTGCTGTCGGCCAATCGGAGCGGCTCACGGCGGCGGCCCGCGGCCGAAGCGCGCTGGGAGATTCAATCGCTCGGAATCGCCGTTTCGCGGGAGAGCGCGGGGGCCGTGGAGGATTTAGTTGTTTACAGGCTCGACAGCAGCAACACATGTACGAGTGAGAGATTACTCGCTATCTTTTTGTTATCATTCAATGCAAAGTTTCACTTCGAGTTGCGCCTAATTATATCTATTCAACAAGAAGAGGTGAGTTGAAGCGATTCGGGTCGGGTCAGTGCCGCTGGTGCTGGTGGCACGAGTCGGGCTTGAGACGCGAGGCCCGGGCTGTAGGCCGCGGCCTTCACCTCCCCACTCACAAGCCGCGCAAAACCCGCGACTAGAATCTTAAAGGAGAGAGGGATGTGTGAGGCGTACCGAGAAGGACCACCAGCACCGACGACACGGGGCACTGGTGATGCGACGAGGTTGCGAGCGGAGCTCGGCGGCTTCGTTGCTGCATCGCGCCGCGTCGTGACCGATGGCGGCTTGGCGAGGCCCGCGTTGAGCGGTCGACTTCTCGCTGCTGCCGCTGTTGTTGATGATGTTGATGTTGTTGATGTTGATGATGAACATGGTTATAATACATCGCAGAAGCGACTGTGCACGCGACACTAGGACGAGAGAGCCAGTTGTGGACAGTGGTTGTCTGCGTGGAAATGGACCTGCCCGTGTTTAATGTGGAATTCCCATTGCTGGAGTCTGAGATGATGTAGCCATTGCCCGATTGAGCGGAGAAGCATGGTTTTGTTTTACCTCGGGCAACGGGCTCGACTATACACGATTGTATAATTATTTAAAACCTCTGAGAACGATCAAATGGGTACATCGTGGAGCAGCACCGGTGCGACGTGGTGCCTGTCAGGAATGTCGAATTTGCACCACTGGCTGAGTTGGGGGCTTAGATCGTCAGCCTCGGTCAATTCATTTCTGGACGAAGGCCCTCAAGGGCTTAAGTAGGTGCTTAATGTCCGTCAAAATTACGGACATTATTGCAAAGTTATTTAACGTGTCGTGCGTGTACTGTCGTGAAATGGTGTCACAATGTGCGCAGAATACCGATTGGTACTTAACATTACATAAACTTCGATTTTCCACCTCGTGCAAAGTCAATGTTTTGGATGCATACATTGTTGTAAACAGGGTTATTAGCCCAAAAGAAACCACGTAGCTTTGTATCAACTTTACGTGCACATAACGACTAATTCTTTGAGATATTTCAATGGAAACGAGGCTACTCTATCGTGAAAGTGATAAGAATTGAAGCATGTATTGTGTGAGAGAAAGCTGAAATTATATCAGGGGTTATGTATGTCAGGGTCATGACGGATATTTTGAAGGTGGGGTAAGACACGTACGTAGTCGATACGTATGTTATTTGGCAAGCCATTGGATTGCATTTCATGACCGGTGTCATTTCATCATTTCCACGATCGAGAGTGGCATTTATTAACATTGCACTTTCGTTAAAGTAATGCACAGGCATTCCTATCATTAACTCGGCAGTACGAGCATGAGGTGCCAACTTTGTACCACGTAACCACGGGGAAAACATTCAAACTCCAAATATACAGACGCCAGGGTCGGGTTCGAACCTACTACCTCCTGCATACCAGGCGAGGTAGTTAACATCTCGTCACCGTGGCGCCCCAGCAGTGTAGAACTAGACACAACAATAGGAAGGAATACACCCAGAAGTGTATAACTAGGCACAACAATACAAAAGAATATCAAGTGGAATTGACCAATTTATTTTTGTGTTGTGCTTGCACGTCACGTTTTTGCCAGAAAGTCTTCGACGACGATGGCGCAGTATGGAGGACAGAAGAATCCTCCGTGGGCAACACAGTTTTCTACTGGCGTTTCCCAACCCTGTAAGCGCGTGCTTTATCGTCGTAATGTCACCGTTTGTGTTTATATTGTTTTATTTAATGAGCACTAATTATAATCCACTACCGGGTAAATGTCTCCCCGCGCAGTATTGTTTATGGAGGTTGCTTGACCATACTGCACGTAGCTGGTGAGTATGGCCAGTTTAGATATAATTCACCACTGATGTTAACCGTGGTGGGAATCGATCTCTGGTCAACAGGACTTCTAGGGCAGTGCATCACCGGCACACTCCAGTATTATTGTATTAATACGAAGCACAGCGATGGCCATTCGTTCCTCTTGCCATCGAGAGCCACAGTGGTGAGATTTTGAGTCATTGCAGAGCAAGTGACTTTATTCACTCTAGACACGTGTGGGGCAGACGGTCTGTCTTCTCCCGTGTTTGGAAAATTGCGGAGTTGGACAAAAACAGTGCATTTTATTTGTTCACCAAGGTCTTTGCGTGTACCTGTTTACATATTTATTGTTTTTCCATACACTTGCACGTGCAGTCACATTTTGTGTCATTTTCCATTAATTTCACCATTACTATATTGCTGTACAGCAATAAAGAATCCAATTTATGGAATGTAATTATTTGTTTGTATACCCACAAAATCCTCGGTCACATTCAAAACTAATTTTTATGAGCATCATACTTTTCAATGTGTGGTGCTTTTATGAATTAAGTTTTTTTGTGTTTTGTAGATAATTTGGTATGTTTGCTCTCAACACCCCGAGGACAGCATAGTATCAATTTCATCAGTAATATGTACTGTTGGCCCATCGGGATATGTTTATTTTAGAGGTTTATGAGTTTCGTATTACGCAAGCTTATATGCATGCTTATGTGCACACTTTAGCATGCATGCTTATGATGTGCACACTTTAGCCGGGACAAATAATCCGCCTTATTCATTATTCACACTGCCTTGTGATGGTATCATAATCTGCTTTTTGACCGTTCCTTAGTGAGAAGCATTTGCATTATTATCATTGAAGTGTTGTTAAGGGTAATGACAGGTCACAGAGGGCTTCTGTAATATATAAATGGGTTTATCCTGGATAGTGTTTGGATGGGTGACTAGCATGCATAAAAGATATGTTATAAGCTAATTGTGGAGCTACATTGTCAGCAGAGGGATGTGCAGCATATTACAAATTTTGGTCGAAACTTTCTTTTTCTGTGCTCCCCGGCTTCACACACCCACAATAACCAGCGTGGTGAAGTGTGATCAAGTATCCCGAATGACCTACACTGTACGGGGATGCTCTCTGCAGCTCTGCAGCAACAGACTTCGCTTCTCGGCGTGTCGCCCGCTCTCTATGGCCAGCAATCGGTGGGAATTGCCACCGGCATGGGCACTCAGGCCACCGCCGCCTACCCCATGGCACAGACGGCTGTGGTACTGCAGCAGCAGCAGCAGCAACAGCAGCAGGTGGCAGCTCTTCAACAGCAACAGCAAGCTGCTGTGTTGCAGGTAATCAGCCAGTGCAGGCAATGAGATCTTTTGATACTCTACTATCAGTTAATGTTAAATTGTTGACACCATGTAGGGTGAGCAGTTACTTGGTGATTGCAAGTTTGACTTGTGTCCCCCATGCATATTGTGACCTCTGACCTGTGGCCCTTGTTCTATAGAAAATACACTTCAGATAGTCACGTGTAAATTTTAATAAATGTCCCCTATATATTTGCTAAAGCTTACATTGGTTAAACAAGCTTTTAGCTTACACGTGTACTCTCAATTAACATTAGAAATTACAGAAATTTGCATCATTAGAGACCTTTAAGGTACATGTAATGGAACATCTGTATAATGTGGCATTTTCTCTACTGTTTTGTGTATAAACCATGTTGTGGCTATGTGTAAAAATAGCTTTATAAATGTAATGTTGAAATTGACTTGCATTTGTACATTTTTAACTGCAAATTTGAATTGTGTTTTTTCATTTATTGGGCTAACATTTAAAAAATTCAAATTACCACTTGACAAAAGTCAGTCAAAGAAATATATGTGCATATTTCCGCATGGTGTGTTAATTTACAGATTAAACTTAGCCCTCATCATATGTCAGCACTAACTGCCCCTTTTTCGAAAATAAAATAAATAAAGAGCGACTTTTGTGCCAGGAGTATGGTTTTAATGTTGCAATTCGATTAAATTATTGCGAACCATTCAAAAGGTTATTATAACTAGATTACGTAAGTTGTATTTGAACAAAGAACAATGCTGTCTATTAAATTCTAAAATGAGAAGTAGCACAATGCTTCATTTTTTCTGTCTGGACATGGATATGTCTTGCTTCATGTTTAAAAATAAAATCACACCGACATTTAAAAATATGTGATTACAGTTTTAAGGCTGGATGGAATCAGAAATAAAATGTGCCCTTTGAGGTCTATGATATTAAAATTGGTCATTAAAGTATTTCATGTTTTTCATGTGCACAATGTAGAGCTTTATAAATATGTGCTGTTATGCCAGGATAAACAGTGTTGTGTGATTTTGTTGGCAACATGATGACATTCACAGACTGCAGGCAATATCAGCAATATTGAATCCAGATGTGCTTTGTAAAAATTCACTTGGTAAGAAGTAATTTAGACTAAATGGCTTAATTTTTGCTTGCTGAAAGACAATGTTTAATTCCATTTAAGCTGCATTCTCAAGATGCTTAGAACCCTGAATATGAATTGTTTAGGTTTTGTCGGTCATTAACTAACAATTTTTATTTCCTGAAAACATACCTCAGGAAGATATTGTCTTCTCACAAATGGTTAAATTTAAATCACCACATTACCCAAGCACTGCTTTTTTTGCTTTCGTTGTTATGGGAATCACTACCAGACAAGGATTTGACGAGTAAAATACTATGCGTTGTGTTAAAAGTTAACTTTTTGTCATTATTCTATCCTAGCAATTTCAGCAGACGCAACAGAATCTCTACAATGTTCAGCAGGTATGGTTTTTTCTTTCTGCTGCTAGCACACATCAGTGAACATTGCATGCAGCATCAGCACTGCTGGAAGTGAAATTGTCTTAATGAGGACAATGGAATTAACTCGTACTTGACTTGTCTCATAGCAGCAGACGCTGGCGATGCCGACGAGCCTCGCCGCTCCACAGCAGGCGCAGCAGATGACCGTGTCCTATCCAACGCCACGCATCATTCAGCAGCAGCAACAGCAGCATCAACAGCAGCAGCAGCAACAGCAGCAGCAACAACAGCAACAGCAGCAACAGGCGGCAGCTGTCTCCGTGACGCAAAGCGTCGCTCAGAAGCAGCGTGTCTTCACAGGCGTCATCACTAAGCTGCACGATAACTTTGGATTTATAGATGATGATGTTTTCTTCCAGCTAAGGTGAGTCTGAAGAGCTGAATTCTAAACTCTGAACCAGAGAGGGCATTGTGGCATCTTCCCGTGGCTGGTGAATGGTTCCTTTCATTTGGTCAATGCAGCAATACTGAAGGAATTGTCATTGGCTGTGACGTCATAATATATGCAAATCTATTGTTTGCTTCTGTAAATGTACAAGTTAGGCTTCTGTAAAGTTTGTAATCGTAGTGTAGTATTGATATGAAAAAGAATGATGGCTCTTCGTTCCTCTTGCCACTGGGAGCCACAGTGGTGAGATTTTGAGCCATCGCAGAGCAAGTGACTTTATTCACTCTAGACACGTGTGAGGCAGGCGGTCTGTCTTCTCCCGTGTTTGGAAAATTGCGGAGTCGGACAAAAAAAGTGTTTTTTAACATTGCGCTTACATTAAATGGGATACACATGCCAACCGTATGTGTGTTCGTGTAACATGTTTCATGTATAGACTCATGTACCGTTTAATCCGTCCAGCAATCACTACAATGCTATATGGAGCATTTTAATGCGTTATCCATTGTAGCTCAACAGACAATCTTCATCTTAAAAAGTAGGTTGCTTAAGTCAATATTTAAAACGAGCAACTATGTCTATCGTTACACTCACCGTGGATAAGTGATGAGTAAAACATGGTTTGCAGGTGCCTTGCACTGTAAAGTTCCGCTACCCGCATGTACCACTGACTTTCTCTTATCCCCCCCCCCCCCCCCAATTGCAGTGCTGTGAAGGGTAAGGCACCCCTTCTAGGTGACCGTGTGCTGGTGGAAGCCACGTACAACCCCAACATGCCCTTCAAGTGGAACGCTCAACGCGTTCAAACCTTGCCCACTGCAGTAAGCCCTGTGCCTGTGCACCACCAACCACCACTGCCGCACTCGCTGCAATGTCGCGGTCATGGTTTATGGCCAGTGCCCTCGGCACATTTGCTGTTTTTAGTTTTGTCCTGAGTTTGATAGAGCACTTGTTTTTATGACTTCCCTCTTTATTTGTTTTGAATATTATCTTCATGTAAGTTCCCACAAATATAAGTTCCCATGCATAGCTGTTTTATATTCTGTACTTTATTTTGGAAAGCTTATCACTGGTTCACAACTTGCACATTTGCATGTTTTTTTTTTCTTTTTGGGGGTGGTGGGAAATCGGTGATGCAGTGCGTTACCTCGCCCCGCATTGAATCTGGCGACCCAAGTTCAGTTCCCAGCCGCCGATAATGCCAGTGGCGAATGATATCTGAACTAGTCCTGGAGTTCACCCCCCCCCCTTCTCCAACCAATTTTACCCAATGTTGCGAAGTAGAGCCAACATCCCCAATGACCAACACAAGGTGGAGAGGCCTTCATTAGTATGGGATTAACAAATGATTCTTTGGTTCTTTTAAGATTAACAAATTACTTAATTATATTTTTTGGAGATTGCACACTGATTAAGTAATGTGTATCATAACTCATAATGGCAGGTGTATGTTGTCTACTTGTAAGTGAATCGCCCCCCTTGGACACTTGTCCAGTTCCTTTACAATTTCAACACCAGTCAAAGTATCGGTGCGACAGTTGCTCCTGTCATTTGTTTCTACAGCAAAGTCAGGGGCTCATGAAGCCTCCACAAGCTCCCACCATGCAGGCGGCACAGATGATGCAGCAGCAGGGCTACACCGTGGCGTCGCAGGGCATGTCTCAACAGGTAGGAATGCAGCACAACAAGCCCCTCTGCATAACAGGGACAACTGTCACATGTGCACTATGTTCACTCCCTCGTCTTAAGGGATATGGGTAATAATGTGACGACAATAACTGTACTCCACTGGCTCACAATGTCACGATTGCACTCACCATCAAGGTTATGTGGACTTGCCTCTGCCTACCTGTCCGCGACCATCTGTCTCTACTCCCCTCTGTGTGTGCTCTCTGCTCCAGTAACCATGGCTTACTGTCAAAATCCCTCCGTCAACCTTGGATCAGTGCAAAGTCACTCATTGCCTTGTGTTGTCTCCATCGTCCGGAATCCTGCTACTTTAAATAGATAATGCTCTATTTGCTTTTGAAATGATTTATGATATCTACAACTATAAAAGTGTAATAAAAGGACTCGAACACTTCTTTCTGTCTTCGTGTCTTTATTCAGGTTCACGTCTTTACCCACACGGCACTCTGTTATAACTCCTGTATTTGTAGCCCCCGGCTATTCACTGCTATTATAGCTTCCTCACCCCTCTGACTCTCTGCTTCATCTACTGTAACCTCCTCCCTGCAGACTCGCTGCTACCCCTATGTGCAGACCCTCTGGCTGTCACTGTATGCAGACCCGCTGCCCACTCTCTCTGTGCAGCCCCGCTGCTGACTGCAGCCTCCTTGCTGCTTCGGGTCGGTCACCGCTGGCCAACGGTGCCGATCCTCGCTTCCCCCGTGTTCGTGGCGATCTCGCCACACCCCGCTTCGCCCTACGTGGCCTTCCTCTGTTCCTGGCTCCCAGTCACCCCCTCTGCTCTTCCGGTTCCCCTCCTTCTATACTCAACCCCTCTCCCCCCACGTGACCTAACTCCTCCCCCCCTGACGGCACCTCAGAAGGGCCGTTTACAACCGCATTACATCACCCTCCCCCCTAAAGAAAATCCAGCCGACCTCGGCTGAATTGCAACCTGAAAGCAATGCGGGTGTAAAGGGCCAACACGCAAAAAGACACGAAGCATTGAAGAACATTATAACAATAACACAACACAACACAATCTAACGAAACGTGAGGGATTTCGAGCGAGTACGGGTAGCCGGGCCGTCCCGGACGGTCGGCGGCCCACCCGCCGAGCGGGAACGTGGAAGGGTTTTAGGGGCGACGGGCGCAAGTTCTTCCGTCGCCATTGGAGGCCCGCCACTGTCCCGCTCGCGTCCAGAAACATCCCGTACTCGCGTCCGCGGAGGGATAGGAAGAGCTGCAGGTCCCGTGGGTTCTGCGGCTCCGGTCGGCGTCCCACAAGCGGAAGGTCCTCCTCCCTGCGCTGTCACGGCCGGCTTGTCTGTGAAGGGTACGACAGGCGCTCTCGCAAGGTCAGCAGACACAGGCAAGGGCGAGTCGGCAGCAACAGACCCCGGCAAGGCAACTTGGGGAGATGACGCATCCGGCCGTGGGGCAATGTATGGCTTCAACCGGGACGTGTGCACGAACCAACGCCGTGCACCAACCTGAACACGCGCCGACTGTGGGTTGGGAACCTCAATGAGGCGGACCGGACCCTGCCAAGGTCGATGTAATTTAGGAGATGTACCTGGCCGCACCTGTGGGCAATGAAGCCAGGCCAGGTCCCCCTTTTTCCAGGGACACTCCCCCTTTGAACGTCGGGCACACCGCTCATTCCTGGCCTGAGCCTTGGCAGTAGCCATGCGGGCATTTTCCCTCGCCTCAGCGACACGCCGAACGTTGTCCTTAATATACTCAGGAAGAGGCTTAACAGGCCCCCTCGCACCGGTTCCCAACTGGTCATGAATCGGCGGCACGTTCTCACGGCCGTACATAAGGAAAAACGGCGAGTATCCAGTAGCCGCGTGCGGCGTCATGCGATACGCCGAAAGCACCCCAGGGATATGCAAATCCCAATCAGATTGGTTTTCCCCGACTGTATGGCACAGCATGGCGGACAGAGTCCGATTCAACCGTTCCACCATACCATCCGTTTGCGGGTGGTAGGGGGACGTCCGTATCTTTTTAGTTCCAAGAGCCGCACACACCTCCCCCAACAATTTAGACGAAAAGTTACGTCCCTGATCCGTAAGGAGCCTCTCCGGAGCCCCTTTGTCCATTACATACCCAAATAGAAAGGCGTCCGTGATAGACGCCGCTGACTGGTCAGGCAAGGGCCAGGCCATCGGCCAGCGAGAGAGGTACTCCACCCCCACCAGTAAATACTTATTCCCTTTAGCTGATGGCGGAAAGGGTCCCAAAATATCTAACGCCACCAACTCATTAACCCGAGATACTTTAATCGATTGTATCGGCGGAACATATGGATGTTTAGGCGGCTTACGGCGGGCACAATCGGGACACGCGCGAACGTGACCGACGACATCCGTCGTCATGCCGTGCCAATAATAGTCTCGTTGCAGCGTCAATAGGGTTTTCTGCACCCCCAGGTGTAAAAGTGTGTCACAGTGCAAAGATCGAATCAACTCATAGCGCAATGACGCAGGCACAACGAGACGCCAGTGTTCCTGTATCCCTTCCCTCCACATCAGTAACCCATCTCGGAGAGCAGTTTCCGAATTACCACCCGCACCGACTTCCTTACCCGCCTTCTCCGTTCGTTTCCGTAACGACACCAAAGAATCGTCCAACATTTGCTCCCGAATCCACACAGACCTTGGAAGACGCAAAATCCCGTCAGCCGGTCCCCCTTCAACCGGTCCCGGTGTAAGCGGAGGTTCGAGAACATCCACTGCCCGCGCGACAGGTTGAGGGGGGGGCTGAGCCGGTCCACACCTATGCGTCCCCGACGCACACGCACAAGGGGATTGTTGCGGCAACCTGGACAGTGCGTCCGCGTTAGCGTGACGCACACCCTTCCGATGGTGAATTTGGAAGGAGAATTCTTGCAACGTGTCCAGCCATCTCGCCAATTGTCCGGATGGCTGGTCCATCTTAAGAGCGTACTGCAAGGCCGCATGGTCCGTTCGGACAATAAACGACCGACCGTACAGATACGGTCGAAATTGGCGGAGAAAATACACAATAGCCAAAAGTTCCCTGCGAGTGACGCAGTAACGAGTTTCCGCGGGAGACAAAACCCGACTCCCGTACGCCACCACACGCTCAACACCACCTTTTGACTGGGACAACACCGCCCCAATCCCGGTGTCACTCGCATCAGTATCCAGAATGAAGGGATGTTCAAAATCCGGATAATCCAACGTCGGCGCAGTAGCCAGTAGGTCGCGCAGGCTCCGAAACGCCGCCTCCTCCGGCGGTCCCCACACAAATTTGTGCCCCTTCCCAGTAAGGAGATGCAAAGGCCTGGCGATAGTAGCGAAATTCGGAACAAACCTCCGGTAATATGAGGCGAACCCCAAAAACCGACGCACATCACCCACCGTGGCGGGGGTTGCCCAATCCCGGACACACGCAGTTTTCTCTGGATCCGTGGCCACCCCGTCCGCACTAACAATATGTCCCAAGTATCGAACGGAACGTTGCAGCAGATGACATTTCTTAGGCTTGAATTTCAAATTAGCAGAACGCATTCTGGCAAAAACGGCCTCCAACCGCAATAAATGCTCATCAAATGTGCGGCTGAAGACAATAATATCATCTAAATAAATGAGACATGTCTCCCACTGCAACCCCGTCAATACCAACTCCATCAATCTCTGAAAGGTGGCAGGGGCTGCATTCAACCCCATCGGCAGACAGTTAAATTGGAACAACCCCTGCGGCGTACGGAACGCTGTCTTTTCCCGCGAGGGCTCGTCAAGGGGAAGCTGCCAGAAGCCCGAAGAGAGATCTAGCGTTGAAAAAAACTTAGCCCCTGACAAGGCGTCGAGAGAATCGTCCATACGCGGCAGGGGATACGCATCTGCCACCGACACTTTATTTAACTTCCGAAAATCCACACAAAATCGTAATTTACCATCTTTCTTTTTAACCAACACGACAGGCGCACCCCACGGGCTATTAGACGGAGATATAATATCCGCTTTCAACATGTCTTCCACTGCCCCTCGAACGTGCTCACGCTCAGCCGGACTCATCCGACGCGAGTTCAAGCGGATAGGGGCCGCGTCCCCCGTTTCGATGTGATGAGAGAGCAGCGAGGTGCGTCCCAAGTCCAAATCGTCCGAGCTAAACACATCGGAATAGCTCGCTAATAATTTATGAATCGCACAACGCTGCTCAGCGGAAAGGGCCGAATTTTCCGCACATAATTCGGCGATCCAACGATCGTCCACCCCTCCGTCGTGTGAAACACCACCCACCAGCCCCCCGTCCGGAATGTCACTCTGAGCCGTAAACGCCGTAGTGGCGTGTGCCACAACGGTACCAGCCGGCACACACACGCTTTCAGAAGTCGCATTTAACACCTGCAAAAACGGGCGCTGATCCGGACGGACAATGGTTTGCGCCCCCACCAGTGCCAATCCGCCCGTAACAGCGGCGGACGGCGACAGCAAAATTCCACAAGCACTCTGCCGACCCGGAACCGGCTTCCGGTATCGTAGGGGAATGAGCATCTGCGAGCCAGGTGGAATATCAACTGAAACTTCCGATAACGCCTGCACCTGGGCAACCGGAGCCGGTCGCCCCCAGGTGGACTGTAAAAACGCCAATTTGCGGCCCCCTGGCAGTTCAATGCAATTTTCATTGATTCTAATTAAAATGGGCATCTTAGCCAAAAAATCCGTGCCCAACAAGCAAGGAACCGCCAGGAACCTCGAAATTAACACAACGCCCGAGGCCGAGACCCCCCCGATAGAAATATTAGCGTCCACCTGTCCCACGATGCCCATACTACCCCCGTTCGCAGCGATGCAGGAAGCGTAAGCCGGCCTCACGGCCCCCGGTGGGATGTTCAAAAGATGGAATATGACATCCGAAATAATGGTCGCGGACGCCCCGGAATCCACCAAAATACGCACGTCCACCCCTTGGATCGACCCCGGTACAGTGGACGAACCTGTAGCGGCCGCGACAACCCGCCGAGC